TGCCTCAGCTCTTGGCTGAGTGCTGGGATTACAGATATATCCCATCACACCTAGCTCTTATTTTATATAATGTTTAGAGGTAGAGCCTTGCTAAATCTATATGTTGCCTAGGCTGGGCTCATACTTAATGATTCTCCTGCCTCAGCCTCCCAGAGTGCTGGGATCACAGTTATGTACACCACATTTGGCAGTAAACTTTTTCTGAGGTATACGTTACATAGAACTAAACGATCCTGTTTGGGAGAAACTTATTAAAGACCCTGACAGCCAAACTCCAGTTGAGATGGTAATCCCAGTGCCACCTCTCCTGGTACAATAGTGTCTTTTCCAGGATTTCGTGTAAATGTGGTGAGGAAGGGCATACTCTTCCATTTGGATTTGTTATTGTTGTTGCTGTTGTTCAGACAAGGTCTCCTGTGTAGTTCAGGCTGGCCTTGCACTCACTATATAGCCCATGCTGGCCTTAAATTCACAGTGATCCTCATGCCTCAGCTTCTCGAGTGTTGGGATTACAGGTGTGCACTACCATGCCCAGTTGTTTTGGCGTCCTCTAGATAACATGTTGGTTTTGAGATCTGGCTATGTTACTTGTGTAGGCAGTTTTTACTTTGTGCCCATTGTGTGACATTAAGTGCTGTTCTTTTGCATGATCATTTATGTGGCTGTTTGTTGCCAGGGGGGTCCAGGCAGCTTCCCGTCTGGGATGTCTTGGACCATGCTGCCATCAATAGCTGTGTGTGACCTATGTGCTTGAGTGCACTCCATTCACTCAGGTCACACACAGCTGAGTGTGTCAGAGTGGAGTGGTAGTCCAGGTGGTTAGAAAACCAGCTTTTCCCTCCCTGTAGCTACTTGCCTGCCAGCCTTGTTAGTACAGGAGCAGTTTTGTGGGTGTGAGTGTCCTTGTTGGCTATTCACATGTCTTCCTCGTCTTCTTCTTTGACCTTTTCTTCTTCGTTGTTGTCGTCTTCGTCTTCTTCTTCTTTATCTTCTTGTACCAGGAATCGAACTTACAATCTTATACTTGCCAGGCAAGAGCTTATGCTGCTGAGCTAAATCACTGGCCCAACACATGTCTTATGCTGCACTACTTTAACAATCTTGCTGATTGCTTTCTAGCAAGCTCTCTACCACTGAGCTATACCTCTGTCCCAGCCCCAGCCCCAGCCCCAGCCCCATTTTGAGAGACGGTCTCACTGAGTTGGCCGGGCTGGCCTCAAACTTGGAATCTTAGAGCCACAATGTCCTGAGTAACAGGGCTCCCAGGCATTGCCACACAATCAGTGCTTCTGATTTTCAGGAGTCCTTCAGATATCTCGAACATAAGTCCTTTGTGAGAGAGGTGTGTTATGAACGTTCACCACCATTCTATCCCTTGCCTCTTTGATGGTTTATTTGTGTATGTGTCTGTTCATATTGAGCCCTGCTTTATTTTTCACTTAGAAGTGAATAGTTGGAAGCACTTGCAATTAGGCATTGTGACACATGAGTAATTTCAGCTACTTGGGAGGCTGAGGCAGGTGGATTTCAAGTTCAAGGCTAGCTTGAGAAACTTACTGAGACTCTGTCTCAAAATAAAAAAATGAAAATGGCTAGGAATGTAACTCATTCTGGGTTCTCTCTCTGTCTCTCTCTCTCACACACACACACACACGCTCACACACACACACACACACACACACACACACACACACACACAGAGTATTTGTAGACTCCTGCTCTGCTGAGTAGCTGACCGATTGCTGCAAACTGAGCTGGGAAAGTTGGGAACCCAGGTGCTGGCCTCTGGCTTCTCTTATGATTTGTCTCAGGAAGGTTCAGTTTCATGGGAATGTTAGCTACCTGGGCCAGAGTTGGGTAGCTTCTCTCAGGGCGAGTCCAGCTGTTGTGCACCATGGCAGGACTGCCGAGAGCCCAGCCAGTCCCTGCAGCAGGAGGGAAGCCCATGTGTGATTTCTCAGGACCGTTTCCATCTGGAACATGTACACTCGTGTGACTGTAAGTCAGGGGGTGAGTGCATGTGCGCTCAGAGCCACCCTGCCTGGCGCTGAGGTGAGGGCCACGGGTGTACATGTGCTGCTGCGCTGGCCTTTCTCACACAAGTCTGGATAGGCAGCTCTCCTAGCACTTTCTTTTTTTGTTTGTTTGGTGGTTTTTTTTTTTTTTTTTGTCTTTTTCATTTTTATCGGTACCAGGGATCGAACTGACGACCGCCTGCTTGCAAGGCAGGTGCTTATGCCGCTGAGCTAAATCCCCAGCCCCCTCTCCTAGCACTTTCATTGAACAGAATGGAAGGGCTGCACTTGGGGACAGGAAGAGCAGACAGGAAAGGGAGGGACCTGATGGCTGCCAGCTCAGAAGAGAGTGTGGGCCTGGCTCTGCTCATGCTGCTGTGGCACAGCCACAGCCTAGGTGATTTAGTGGAGGGAAACCAGTTTGGTTCATGGTTCAGCAGAACATGACACAGACACCAGCGAGTGCTTCCTTTGCAGGAGAGCCTCAGTGTGACAAGCCCGAGCAGACACAGCCTTCTGGTAGGAGCACGTGCTGCCTGCTTCTCAGCACCACTCTGTGGCAGCCTGGGCTCTCTGTGAGTTTGGGGAGCACAGACCATGCCAGGCAGTAAGGCGAGCAAGCCCCTTTCTGGCTGTAGGTATGTGTCACCTCTGGTGTCAGGAGATGACATTGTGGCAGTGTCCCTCCTGGGCATGCACATGAAGTAAGACAGGGCAGAGCTGGTCCTTGTGGCAGGGTTCCAGGTAGAGCCACAGGCAGAGCTAGACCAGACCCCACTGGCCAGCTGTCTGGCTGTTTGTAGACAATGAAAGAGGGGTGTTCAGCTGTGTTGGGGTTGGGACCCAGAGTCTGTATGAGCCCGTGGGATCTGTTTTATTTTGTGGTATTGAGGATTGAACCTTTGCAATGAGCCACATTCCCAGTCTTTTTAGTTTACTTGTATTTTTGTTTTGAGACAGAATTTTCGCTAAGTTACCTAGGCTGGGCTCCGAGTTTAAACTGGACTGAAACTTGTGATCCTCCTGCCTCAGCTTCCCAGAGTGTTGAGATTATAGATGTGTGCCACCATGCCTGGCAGTTTTGTTTTTGTTTTTAGATAAGGATCTTGCCCTGTAGTTCAGGCTGTCCTTGAATTTGTACTCTTCCTGTCTCAGCCTTCCAAGTATTGGGATCATAGGCATGCACCACTGTGTCTGGGTGATTTATTGTTCCATAAAAAAGGAATGAGTTTTCTTTTTTCTTTTTTTGACAGATTTCATTTTTATTTTTCTTGTGTAAAAACCCTTATGTTGTAACTACTACTGGAGTTTGAGTCCTTTGGACAGAAACTCTAGTGTGGGTTTTCACAAAACGGTTGGTAAATTCCTAGTAGGGAGACTTCGTGAACACAGTCTCTTTCCAGAGGCCTTGGAGATGACCTCAAAGGTGGCCTTAGCAAAGTTGCCCAAAGTAGCAGTACAGCCCCTGGCAGAGATTTAACAGTCATCAGTACCAGCCATTAGCAGCAGCTTCTTTGGCCCAGGGGTTATGCCAGTGCCTCTGGGGGCAGGGATCAGACTGCTACCACTGAGTCACAGAGGCCTGTCACCTTGCAAGGGACTGTGTGGGGCTTGCCAGTCTTGTTTCCCGAGTAGCCTCTACACCCAGGAACAGTGGAGAGCTTGGCCAGGAAGATGGCCCGCGAATGGCAGTGGCTACTCTTTAGAACACTTTACACCCAGACCAATGTGATCGTTGTAGTCCCCATTGGTGATAAATACCTTGAATCTGGTCCGCTGGCCAGCATGAGCTTGCTTCTGCACAGGCGTGATCTTCAGGACTTCATCCTTGGGGGATGTGCCCAGGAAGAGTCAGTAATCTAAGACTCCTTGGTGTGTCAGGAGAAGAGATAAAGCTCCTCCAGGGACTTGATCTTCATGCCCTTGACCAGCTGGCCCAGTATGGTGACAGGAATCCACTCCTTGGCCTTGGCCGTAGCACTGCGAGCTCTGCGGCTTTGGCCCCAACCTTGCTGCGCCCGAGTCCACGTCCTCAAAGGCCACTTCCAAAGCCTCTGTGGAAGCCGCCTTGGCCTCCCATGCCTGGGCCCCCGGGGCCTCCAGGCCCTCCTGCTGTGCTGGCATCGTCTGCCATTTGGGGTTTCCTCAAGGAAGAAGCGGAATAAGTTTTGTTCATGGGGGAAAAAAACTAACACAAAGTTGTCTGTGACTTAGTGACCCAGATATATTCATATTCTTTTTTTTTTTTTTTTTTTTTTAATTGGTACCGGGGATTGAACTCATGACCACGCACTTGCAAGGCAGGTGCTTATGCCGCTAAGCTAAAGCCCCAACCCTATAACCATATTCTTACTTTGAAAGGAGTAATGCATACCAAGTACTATTCAGGTTTTTATTTTATTTGTTCATTTAGTTTTTCCTAGGCTCACACATGCTAAGTAAGCACGCCATCTCTGAGCTGCCTCCTCTGCTCCAAGTGATGTGTTTTTTGTTTCTTTGCTACCAGGGATCAAACTCGATCTTGCACTTACCAGGCAGGTGCTTGTGCTGCTGAGCAAAACCCCCGGCCCCCAAGTGATGTTTTAAATGTACTGTAAGACCTAAAATTTGTTGGTTTGTTTATTTTTGTCTTTTTGAGACAGGGTTTCACTATGTAGTTCAGGCTGGCCTTCAACTCACTTTGTAGTCCAGGCTGGCCTCAAACTCTTAGTAGTCATCCTGTATCACCCTCCCAGGTGCTGGGATTACAGGCATGTGCTGCCATGTCTGTATGCATTTATTTTAAAAGGAGTAGTTGAAATTCTGTGGCACTTCCATATTTTCCTAATCATAGGACTCCTCCCTGTGACTTTGCCCCTTAGCGCTTTGTAACCCTGGTGGATGAGCTGGGCGGTGCAGGCGGCACAGCCTCCCGTCATTGCCTGTGGGATGCTCCGACTCTGATGGGATGCAAACAGCTGCTGACTGTGTGGTTTGCTTTTCCAGGTGCACGTTCAGGTTTCCGAGCACAAACATCAAGATAACATTCACAGCCCTATCCAGTGAGAAGAGGGAGAAGCTGGAGGCACCTGAGTCCCCTGTGAAGCCTGTGCAGCCGCACATCTCCCCGCTGACGATCAACATTCCAGACACCATGGCCCACCTCCTCAGCCCCCTCCCATCCCCCACAGGCACCATCAGGTATGTGTGCCCCAAGACAGCACAAGACTCTGCAGTCAGTGTCTGTGGTGAGGGAGGTGTTACAGGTGCTTGCAGTACCTCTTGAATTTTGGAGACTGCTGTCAATTTCTGCGTCATGAAATGCATTTCCCATGTGTTCCTTTGGTTTTTTCCCTCAGGACTGGGGATGGAACTCAGGGCTGCCTGCATGCTAGCCAAGTGCTGTTTCTCTGAGCTACAGCTCTGGCCCTTGTTTTAAAATTTTGAGTCAGGATCTTGCTAAGTTGCCCACGCTGGCCTTGAACTCACCATCCTCCTGCCTTGGTCTCCTGAGTAGCTGAGATTACACGTGCACTATCACACCTGACTTGTACCTGGTTTTTACTTAGGCTTCATTTTATTGGAGTATAAATTCATGATTTGTAAGATTGGCCTAAGTCTGAGATTGGTACAGTTACATATAAATTCTGAAAATGTGTACTTTGGTTTGAACACACCAAACTGATTAGGTCATGTCACTTGTACTTAAGAAAGAGCCTCTACTAAAGAAAGGTCATTCAGAAACAAGATGACAGCATCAGGCACAGCCACTCGGCCGTGCAGGGGGAGCTGGGCCTGGTTGCTACGGAGGACAGGAGGGCTCTGCCAGCCTGCCCCCTTGGCAGCTTGAGCACAGGTCAGTCCTTCTTGCTACGGGCTGTGAATTCAGGTTTGTGGGGGTCCCAGGCATCGTATTGTTAATGGGGAGGCTGGACTTTGGGGGTACCAGCCCGCCTCTTCCCTGCAGCGTCTGTGCTGCTGTCCAGGCTTCATACAGCCTACAGCTGGCAGGCGGGTAGATGCCCCTTGTCTGCCCAGTGTGCATGTCTGTGCGGCCCACTGAGGAGGAAGGGCACAGGCTGCGGAGGCCTCTGTGGGTTAGAGCACGATGTTGACGTCTTCTTTTAAAAACCAGCGTCAGGAATCAACCCTCTGGAAATTAAGAGCATAAACAAGTGGAAACACATCTCATGTTCACAGATTAAGAGATGCAAGACTTAGCAGAGTGTTAGGGTGTCGGCACTACTCAGAGCACTCTGCAGAGGCAGTGCAATTTCCATCAATGCCAGTGAAGTTTTTTGTCAAAACAAAAACTCACCATTGAAATTTATATGGAATCTCAAGAGATCCTAAAAAGTCAAAAAACAATTTTTTTTCCCTAGTTCTGGAAATTGAGGCCTGATGTTATTGAGCTACACTGCAAGGTCTTTTAAATTTTGAGCGTTTTCTTTTTTCTTTTTTTGAGACAATGTTTTGCTCTGTAATTCAGGCAGGTCTTTTTTTTTTTTTTTTTTTATTTAAGGAGAAAAGAAAAAAAAAAGTGAAAGGGTACAAGTTATACAGATTTACAGAAGAAAAAAATGAACAGTAGGAAATCACTAGTTAATGGATTACATATTGCCATCTTAAAAATAATTGTTCAAGTCACAAGATTAAAGCTTGTAGAGTGGACATTCCAACAATGATACTGCAAACATTTCTGTTCAATGATCCAATAAAACTCTGTGATACCATTTTCTATCTTATATACTTAAATATACATGCAGTTATACAGTTTAGAGCACTTTCTTTTCCTCTCTTTTGTACAATGACTATTACACATTTTGGGTTTCATTGCTCCCACGGTTCTTACTGCTTTTTTGGAAGAGAGTAAAACCAAATGAGACATAACAGGACAGAATCGGTCAAGTCAAAAGGGTGGACATAATAGATAATATAAAAACATAATACAAGGTGATCATCAATGGTTACCATAATGCCTCCCGCTATCTCTAATAGAATTGCCTATATCATTAGTTATAATACAATTGAACCAAATAGTAAGGAACAAAACCGACAAAACCAAAACATTGGAGACATTGTAGGTCTTCAAAAGTAGATAAAAGTCAACGAGAATGGGCGTTATAATGAATCTCATTATCTTCTCAGCTGATGCCTAAACTTTCGAACCTGATACTATCCATCAAAACAGAATAGGGGAACATCAGTCAAAAACAAGATGGTGAGAGTAATACAGGGCTTCAAATCGAGATAATAGAAAGTCAAAGTGGGTTACCATATTATATCCTGCTATTTTTTTTCCCTTTAATTAAATGGATAAAAATAAAAAAGTAAATAATGGAGTGGAGATTGGGAAAAAAAAGAGGGCATAACAGCAAAACAGCGCAGATCAAAACATAACCATTTAAGCAGAATAGTGTTTCACCACCAGATAATTCCGACCTAAAAGTAGTTACCATATTGACTCTTTCCTTGAAGTCCTTGAGTACAACTTCATATACTGTAGCATTAAGTATATCAAAACAATGTAAAACCATTTAAGAGAATGACAGCATTACAGAGTATTTAGAATCGACTAACAGAAAATGAACAATGGTTTCTGTATAATCTCCTTGTCTTTAAAAGGTTTTTGCTTATACTATCGTACATAATAAAATCCAATAAGATACAACCTGTTTAGACCATTGGAGACAGAAGAACAAAAGCTAGATGAGACTTCAAAACAAGATGATACCAAATCAGTATTACCTATTAAGATGTCATTTTCTCTAAAATAGCTGTTCCTATCATCCAATCTTCTCTGTCTCATTTCTGTTGAGCTCTTTTTCTGTCAGTAGCTGTCAGTTTGTCTTCTTCATTTTGTTCTCTGCTCCATTCGTTGTGGCCTCCCCGCCACCATTTCTGGGTTCTTTGTATTTTTCTTTTTTTAGAATATCCTGCAATACTTTCTGTAGGGTTGAATTGGTGGTTGCAAATTCCCCCAGTTCCTCTTTATCCTGGAACCACCTTGTTTTTCCATCAATTTCCAGGGACAGTTGTGCAGGATATCTCCATCTTGGCTGGAGATTATTATCTTTCAAAGCTTGAATTATTTCCCCCCATGCTCTTCGTGATTTGATGGTTTGTGCAGAGAAATCTGCTGTAATTCTGATGGGCGTTCCCTTGTAAGTGGTCTGTTTCTTGTCTCTTACAGCTTTTAATATTCTGTTCTTGTATTGAATTTCTGGAATTTTTATTATTATATGCCTGGGTGTTTCTCTGTTAGGGTTGTAGGTAGCTGGGGTCCTGTATGCCTCGTACATCTGAGTATCTTTACCTTTTGCTAAATTAGGAAAATTCTCCTGGATTATTTCTGTGAGTAGCTTTTGTAGTTCACTTGTTTGTGTCCCTACTTCTTCTTTTATGTTCTTAATCCTTAAGTTATGGCTCCTCTTATCATCTTCTTGTCTTTGTATTATTGCTGTTTGTTTCTTTGTTATTTTTAAGAAGTTTTTCATTTCATTCTCCCATATTACAAGTCTGCCTTCCAGCTCAGATAGTCTGTCCTTAGTTTCTTTCAAGCTGTTATGCCAGTCTTGGATAGACTTCTTAATTTCTTGATAGTCCCTTTGAACCTGCTTCACATACTCAATGCTTTCTCTGTTTTCTCCATCAAACAATTCTCCCCTCTTTTTCTGTTCTTCCATTCCACCATCTGTTTTTTCCTGGTTGGTGCTTAACATTTCTCTAACTATTCTGCATACTTCTAGCTTCAGGTCGTTGATAACTTCATTCCTGAATTGGTCTATGAGGCTCTCTAGATGGCGCTTAATGTCTATTGGTGCGGTGTCCGCTATTGCCTGTTTCTCAGAATTGGGGGCCGAGGAGCCTTTCTTGTTGTTTCCCTTCCCCATTTTCTCCGTTCCTTATAAAATGCAAGCTTACATAGGAGGCCCAGCTTCCCTCCCTGTCAGCCACAGCCTGATCGAATTGCGCTGGCTAGGTGTTCCCGCCCACCGCTGTGCACCAGGGAGTTACGGACTAGGCAGCCTACGCAGGAGTCACCCCTCCGGGCCACCGTCAGGCTCTGGGATCTGGGTTAGGCCAGCCTACTAAGTCCGCCCGCAGTGACACACAGGCCAGGCACTTTTCACCAATCCCGTCCGAGAGGGGAATGTGTGGCTGGAGTCGCCACTGCGCCCTGCTCTTACAGGACTGCCCGAGCCCAGAAAGTCCTCCGCTGGAGTCAAACTTTGCTGGAGTGTCAGTTTCTCTCACTCACCTCGCCACCAGTCAGTGTACACCTCCTTGTCCGTCCTGTTTCCGACTCCGTTCGCAGACTCCCGTTCCCAGAGCTTCTGCGCGTCTCTCCTTGCTGAGCCGCTGTGGAGGCAGCCAGCCGCCGGGCGGCGGGAAATCCAAACCGCGGTTTCCAATGGCGCGGGGTCCAGCCTCCACACCGAGACTTTTCTGTTCCTATTTTAGCGCCAGGACTGCATTCCAAGTTGGTTTCTCTCAGCCCAGTTCGTTCCTGAGTCAGCAGAGCATATCTCTACCGGTTCGTGTCTCTTTAGTCCGCATCATTCCTGATTTCTGAGCCGAGCCTTTCAGAGAGCCTCCGGTAGTTGCTGTTAACTATCCGCCATGTTCTCCCGGAAGCTATTCAGGCAGGTCTTAAACTCACTGTGTAGCCTAGACTATCCTTGCTTGAACTCTTAACAATCCTCCAGTTTCAGTCTTCCGAGTGCTGGGATTACAGGCTTGGCTCTTTTTTCTTTTTTTCTTTTTTTTTTTTTTTTTTGAGATGGGGTCTTGCTGTGCAATTGAGGCTGGCCTTGAGCTCATTTTGTAGCCTAGGCTGGTCTCGAATTCTCAACGATCCTCCCACCTTAGCCTCCTGAGTGCTGGGATTACAGGCATGAGCCACCACGCAGATCAAGGCTCGCCTCTTTTAAAATTTTATTTTAGATACTGGGGATCAAACTCACAACCTTGTGCTTGCCAGGCAGGCATGTATGCCACTGAGCTAAATCCCTGGCCCCCTCTTAAATTTTAATTTGAGACAGTCTCAGTAAGTTGCCCGGACTGAGCTTGAATTTGTAATCCTCCTACCTAATCCTCCCTAGCAGTTGGGAGTGCAGGCCTCGATACACACCTAACATAGTATTTGTCTTTTTTCTCTCTAATGCCCCTGTTACTTAATGGCTTTCTAAAGAATCTTATCTTGATAACTGCATTTCAGTGGCTCATTTTTTAAATCACTGTATTGAGTCACACTGTGCGTATTACACTGGACACATCTGTGGTCAGGCCTGAGGAGAGGCCTGGTCCCAAGAAAAAGGTGCCCATCTGCTTTCTGGGTGTGCCTCGCAACCTCAGCTGTAGCTTCCTGTAGCACGACCTGTGCGTGGCCGTCCTCTTGTGTCTCAGCTCTGCAGTGGGGAGGGGTGAGCAGGCTGTGTTCCCTCTGTCCTTGGACCTGCTGCATGTCATTTGGACTCTTTGTAAGTTCTGGAGCCGTAGGAATTCCAGTTTGCTCTTGGGCCACTATTTGACGAGGTTGTGTTCCATGACAGTCCTATTTTCCCAAAGGAAATACTGATGTTCTCTTACTTTACAACATTTTCCTATTTGTTTTGCTTTGTTTTTGTACTTTTGAGACAGGGTCTTGCTATGTAGTTCAGGCTGCTTTTGAACTCACTTTGTAGCCCAAGCTGGCCTTGAGCTCGCAGTGATCCTCCTGCCTCAGCTTCCCAAGTGTTAGGATTACAGGCATGTGGCACCTTGCCTGGCTTGTTTTCTGTTTGTTTTACCTGACTCAGAGCCAGTTGCTGAAGCATATGTGGTCTGCACTGCACAGTGGGCTACAACACAACCTTTTGTCTTTCACAGTGCTGCGAACTCCTGCCCATCCAGCCCCCGGGGCGCGGGGTCTTCAGGGTACAAAATGGGCCGCGTAATACCGTCTGACCTCAGTTTAATGACTGACAACTCACAGCCAGAAAATGAAAAGGAAGCTTCAGGTGGAGACAGCCCAAAGGTAAGGGTTCTGATCTTAGAGCAGGCCCCAGGGACTGTCTGCTACCTGGCCCTCACATTGTCACCTGTGGGTTGCGTAGCTGCAGAGGTGTGGGGCTGTCTCTGGGGAGTCATCCTGGGGTTACTTAGGACCTTTCTTACCTAGGTGTGGGGGGTCACTTGTTTGCCCTACTGTGCCACTCGAGAGGTCACATGTGTTTGCACCCTTGGGGAGTCTTAGCTGCTCCCTTACTTCGGACAGCAGTTGCTGACAATAACAGTATAATTCTACATGTTTTTATTCTCTGACCTAGTAAGTAATTTCTCTTGCAGGACTTTGAAGGAACTAGAAAAAGTTTATATAAAACAAATTTAAAAGCAACCTAAATGCCCTTGAAGGAACCATGATTAAGATATGGTGGCCCAGGAGGAGTCTGTGTGAAGTGTTTTCTGATGGAAAGTGTAGTGCTAAGAAAAACTATAACCCTCAATTACTTTTGCAAGCTGGGGTGTGTTCCACCTTGGCAGGCCCCGGCCACCAGGACTGGGGGCCCCTTGTGTACGGTGCCCACAGTAGCCTTTGCATCGCCCACGCTCACCTTATGGTGTGTGCTTAGCCAGCGTGTGGTGTACTCTGAGCTGTGCTGTGCTGGTGGTTTTAGAAACTGTGGAAGCACAGCAGCAATGTAGGCATGGCGATGAGGCCTCCAGCTTGGCCACTGCCCAGCTGTGGATCTTCACCGTGCCTGGTATTGGGCACTGGGCAAGGGACTTGGATTATTTGGACACTGGGATCCCAGCAGCCAAGTTTTTCTGTTTGGTAGATGCCAGCAGGTGACCCAGTGTCCACCGTCTTCCAGACGCCCACACTCTGGCCTTAGCCAACTCCTGGGAGCCCTGTTTCTACCTGTTCTCTTAGTCCGTTTGCATTCATCCCTGAATGCTGTGTCTGGTCATTTGTTTTAAAACTTCATATAAATCCCATCTCCACTGGTTTTCATTTCGAGTTGTTAGTATCCTTTTCATTCACATTATTGTGCTGGTACATACATGTTCCCAGAAGTACACACAAGGACTGGGAGTTCCCCCAGCAGTTTACACTGCTGTATTTGGCTTGTGTTATGAAATGGAGTCTCACTCAGCTTGTGCTCAGCTTGGCCTTGTGTTTGTGATTCTCTTGCTTCTGCCCTGCAAGTTGCTGGGATTGCAAGGGTGTGCCACTGTGCCCCTTCATGTGGAACTTTGCGTTGTCACGGTGATGTACCATAGACCGTGAGAGCCACGAGCACAGCTGCTAGCATCTGTGTAGGGTGCCACGCATCCCACAGCCTCCTCACACTCACAGTGTGTGACGTGCCCTGTGTGAAATCCCCTGGTGACGGGGCCTTGGGCAGTTCTGCCCTAAGCACTCCTGGTGCCTCCTGCTGGAGCCCCAGGATTGGGGCCTGCCTTCCCCTCTGTTCTTCATAGGTCTGGCCCACTGTTGCTGTGGAGTCAGAGTCTCAGGGTCTGCAGTGGCTTCCCATGTGTTGCACTGAACTCCACTAAGTTCAAGGAACTTGGCTTAATTGTGTTTTTGGTTTTGTATGCTTTTCTGATGTCATTTTCAGTCTTCTTTTGTACTCTTCAATGTCTCTCCTTTTTATGCATTTATTTGAAACTTTAGCATATAATATACATTTTCATTTCTTTTAAAGATTATAAAACCTTGTTCTGTGACAATAATACAAGCAATATTGTTCCAGTGTTATTCTTGGGTTTATCTGAAAAGATAGACACATACACATGAGTAGTATGATGTGCAGTCATAAAATGCTTGTAAAGTATCAAATATCACTGAATATTTTTACTTGTTTTACTTAAGAATCTACTCTGGGAGGTTTGAAAATCACTTTCCCATTTTTTTCTTCCAAGTTTTCCAAATTTTATATATTTTATAATAAGAAAAACTAAGTATCATTAGGTTAGAGGAACATTTAAAATAAGAACTCTGAATTTTAGCTTTAAAAAAATGTTAACTTCTGTACTTTTTCTTTTTTTAATTTTTAATTTTTAATTTTTGTACTTTTTAAATACAGGATGATTCAAAGCCGCCTTATTCCTATGCACAATTAATAGTACAAGCAATCACAATGGCTCCTGATAAACAGCTCACCCTAAATGGAATTTATACACACATCACTAAAAACTACCCGTACTACAGGACTGCGGACAAGGGCTGGCAGGTAAACCCATCTCAGTTTATTAGGCATTTCTGTTCGTGTCTTACAGTTGTTGATTGATACTAAGAGGAGATTAAGCTGGTGCTGCATTTAGTTCAGATGCAGGTTAAAAAAGCAGAGTGAGAGGAGTGGGACTTTGTCTTGCTGAGAGTGAGCGCTCAGGGCTCAGTATGGAGCACCAGGAGAAAAAGCAAGCTGCATTTTTACACCTGTGGGAATACATGTCACCGTGGGTCACGGCAAGCATGGCTTGTTTGGGCTGTTTCCCTTTGGCCACTACAGTTTATTCTATGTGTTTGAAATGAAGGAGAATTTAAAAGTCTAGACCAGGGGTGGTGAAGCTTTTAGAGACCAATGGCAATGGCAATAAACTGCGACAACACTGCAACATAACCTGAACTTGGAGGTTTTAGTTTATAGGTTAACATCTTTTGTCTTAAGACAGATAGGCCATGTGCCAGATGCTTCCTCAGTGGACTTTTGGATATCCTCAGTCTTCTGTGCATTGGTGCTGAGACCCTGGGGCTGTGGGCTGTGGGGCTGCAGGGTGCACCTCCTGAGGGCTTGACCAGCTGAGGGCTGCAGGCCTCCTGCAGCAAGGCCAGTCCCTGGTGCATACCGAGATCAGTGCATAGCATTGTCCTTGTTTAGCTTGTGCACTGGAAATTTTTTGTTTTTCTTTTTTGGTTATCAGGGATCGAACTCATGACCTCATGCTTAGCAGGCAGGTACCTATGCTGCTGACCAAATCCCTGGCCCTGCATCATGAATTTTTAAAGATGTGGAAAGTATAATATTTATTTTTTAAATTTTTATTAGTACATGTTTGCATTATATAATAATTACATTCATTGTGGGGAATTGGTACACGTATATAACTCATCTCAGTTCTTTTAGCCCTTTCTCCCCACTGAACTCACGACCTCAGCTTACTAGGTAGGGCTTACACCACTGAGCTAAATCCCCAGCCCTCAATTCTTTGATTTACTTCTCCTCCTCCTCACAGAGAACCCAAAGTTACACCAGTAAGTTTAAAACCTTTACATTGTATGCATTCTTTTCTTTTTGTGTGTCTGTGTGACTACTGAATATATAGTAGAACGCTGCTAATTGAGACAGCTTGGGAAAGGCTAAGTTTGGGATACAGAATGTTAAAAACATGCCAGGCGTGATGGCACACACCTGTAATCCCAGCACTTGGGAGGCCAGAGCAGGAGGAGCAACCCAAGTTTGAGGCCAGCCTAGGCTACATAGTGAGTTCAAGGCCACAAAGTGAGACCCTGTCTCAAAAAAAAACAAGAGGAAAGGGATGTAGGCTCGTGATCCTTTAATTCATCAGCACCCAGAGGCTCTGTTGTGTCATGTAAATGGCCCTCAGGAGTATGCTGCCTGGGGTGACCCTGTGACTTAGCCCTGAGGGTGGAGGGAAGGGAAAGCCTTCCTTACAGGCCAGACTGCGTAAACATGTGGTCACCTCCTGGGACGCAGGTCCTCATGTGCAATGCTCAGGGCCCTGCAGCTGCTGCGCCTCATTGTGCCTGCCACCCCTTAGCCTGCACACCAGGGTCCTCCTTCCTCTTATGGTCTCAGGGAAATGTAGGGTAAATTCTGGCCATGTACACCATACTTTTATCTGTAAGGGTGAGCTTATGTTTAAAACAAAATGTAAAACAAGCAACAGAACAAAAATGGGTGATTCTAAAGAACAGCATTGAGATGCGTGTTTCTGAAGGCTGGTTCCCTGCCCAGGGGAGGAGCTCCCCAGGGAACACAGTCACTTGTGGGCCTGTGAGGGCCCGAGGGTAACAGTGCCACCTCTCATCTGCGGAATTCTCATGGTCCCAACACCAGTTTCCAGGGTTTTGCAGGAGTGTGTGTTCCTGAAAAGGTCCACTAGACTTCTGTGTGTTTGGTGTTTCCATGTGTTTTTTCTGCATGTATCGATTGTGAAGTTCTGAACACTGCCAAGTTTTCTTGCTAGAGGATTGGAAGGGTGATTCCCACCCTGGTGTGGTTCTCCTGGGGCCTGAGTCAAGAAGTACCTTGGCAGGGAGCCAGCTTCTCAGGCAGGAGCCCAGCTAGGATGTGCCAAGGAGGCGTGGCTTGTCAGCCCACCCCCACCCCCAGAGTAAGTGTGCTGCCCTGTGGCCTCTCTAACAGACTGTGGCGATGCTTATTTTTCTTTTTAAAGAGTTGATTTTTAAATAAGGTAGTTATACTACAGATTGCTCTGATTTCAATGGAGAGATGATCTGTCCTGGTGTTTGGACAGTTGAATGCAGATGTCTTAGGTGAGTGATTTGGGGATGACAACGGGCAATGTTTGTACCACTGTTGCCCCCTGATTGATATGTTTTGAAATTTAGCTTTAAGGTTCTTTTTTTCTTTTTTCTTTGAATAAAACTGATTTTAAAAAGTAATTTTTAGTCCTTTAAAATGCATAATTATCGGGCCAGGGATTTAGCTCAGTAGCATAAGTGCTTGCCTAGCAAGTACAAGGTCATGAATTTGATTCCTGGTACAAAAAAAAAAAAAAGAAAAAAGAAAAAATGCATATTTATCTCCATGCCATTACCTATGCGTGAGCTGTATCCCTAATCCATTTGTAAATTTATTTTCAAATTTTGAGACGGAGTCTTGGTAAGTTGTCCAGGGCAGGCTTGAATTTGTACTCTTCCTGCCTCAGCCTCCCAGAATGCTGGGATTACAGATGTATACCATGATGTGTTGCTCAACATCTGTTTTTATGGAGATAATTTCTTTTCGTGTCTAGGTGAAATCCTGTACATCTCTTGCCTGAGTGAGACTGTCTCTAGGACATGTTGTTGACTCTGGCAAATGTAGTGGGAGAGAGGTTACTTGCTCTCAGGCCCGTTGTTCACAGACTTGTACTTTTCATTTCTCTCTGTTCTCGGGCATGTGCTTGGCTTTGGAATGACAACTCCCAGGCCCTTAGGTATTCTTTTTCTGCCCTTAGCTCTTCACGCTGCCTTCTCCAAAGGAAATGCCTTCAAAGTCTCCCTACATGACCAGCTTTACTGGGACTTCCTCTTCCTGGCTTATGTCCGAAAGGCCTTCCACTTTGCAGCATCTGTCTCTGTCTCTCTGTATTTCTGTCTTGCTACTTGAGCTTGTGCTCTTGCCTTGTCTCCTGAGGAGCTGGGATTGTAGGCATGCACTAGCACAGGTGGTTTATGCTGTTTATTTTCAGAAAAGCGCAAAGTGGTCAAGAGCAGAGGCCTTTTAAGAGAAGATGGACTTCTGGCCGTGCCCACTCTGTCAGAACACAGGGCTGCCCCTCTACTGCTCTGAGCCCAGGGAAGGCCCTTGGTCCTTGTGCTCACGCCAGTCCCTTCGAGGACCCTGGCCCTCTATAGCCCTTGGTGGCATCCCTTACCACCACTTGCACTGAGGTGTAGGATTTTACATTGTCTGCCTATGACACAGAGTGTGCGCCTAGCGAGCAGCAACTACTGGGCTCCCGAATGGGTCTTGGATAGCACCTCACTATGAGCAAGGCTAGGCCAAGGGGGTTTGCTCTGTGTTACAGGTTTTCTCTTTGTCAAGAATAACAACTTTTTTCTTTGGGAAGTCTGTACTGATTTCTGGATTACTGGAGTCAGCATTTGTGGTTTTAATACACATTAGAACAGAATGACATAACCCTCGGTTTGACCAAATTATGCAGGGCTTGAATGACCTTGGAAATGGGTACTGTTTCTTTTTGGGTCCACTGTAAACATCTCATCAGTTGCCTCTCGCTGGCTAGAAAATCCCAGGTTTGTTGAAAGACATGCTTGGAGAGGTCACCTGTTAGCTCTGAGGCAGGGAGGTTCTGGGACATCTGCTGAAGGGGAAGCAGCTCCCTGACTGGTAATGCGGCAGAGGGACAGCACTGTGGCTGTGGTCCTGTTCTTTTCTCCCTGTGTAGAAAGCCTAGTTCCCTGGAATGACAGTGCCTTTTCCCCTTAAGCTAACCATCTTTTTCCTCCTGATAACATGCTACTCCAGATGGGTTGGCCCCAGGGCGGTCTCCTTTGGGGGTACCTGGGCAGTCTCCTTTGGGGGTACCTGGGCAGTACTGTTGATGGCATTGCAGGGGACTGGACCTTCCAAGGAATAGGTGTGGCTACTGTCCTGTCCCATGCAGGCTGGGCACCTTTCTCCAGAGTGCATGGGTCTGGTGTGTTTTGTTCCAGTTTCTGATATTTTTGTACTTGAGTCTTTACTTGTGCATAACGATATCTTGGGGAGCCGAGTCTAACCCTAGAGCCCACTGACATTCCACACACGTCCTGTCTACACAACCAGGAGGTACTTTCCTATGGCGCAACATTTCTTGCGCCAGTCTTGTGACCACAGCTTTGCCCCAGGTCCTCTGTGGAATTCCACTTGTTGCGTCGTCTCAGCGACACTCGCAGTTTCAGATTTTGGAGTCTGAGATGAGGGATGTTTGGGGTTAGGGACTTCTGCATTAGCATGGCCTGTGAATGCAGTACATGGCCTCGCCAGTACATGACACTGGCGAGACTGCCTGTCCCTGTCTGTTGTGGGCACCTACCTGGCAGAGCCTCATCCATTTCTGGAGGAGCTGAAGGAAAGATTGTTTGGTCATCAAGACCACTTGGTGGGCCGGTGCCCGTACAGGTGCCTTTGGCTATTGACACACTCTACAGCTCTGTGAATATGCATATTTAAAGACTTGGCATGAAGCACACAGACAGCCCTTCCCTTCTTGGAGATGGCCCATGAGATGGCCCTCCGGACCGCATGGTCTGAGGCCTTACATGGTCCATGACCCGTTCATACCGAACTGATCCTGGGAATGTTGTCAATCACATTTGGTGTGTGCTGGTTTTCTTAGGTGCCATCGACAGTTCAGAATTTCAGGTTGTGGCTAACAAGTCTAATAAGGGGAATTTAGAAATGATTTTTAGGTAGCGGCAAATTCCATTTTAGTTGTTCTTGTAACCCCCCCAAAAACAAGGCCCCATGATGAAAAATGGGGTAAGACCCCCAAGATGATAAACGGGGTAAGAAGACATCTTTTTTAAAAGAAGAGCTTTTATTTTAGCTGGCCCAGCAACACAGTGCAGATGGAATTTGCAAAGCTGTGCAACTGAATTAGAATTTTGACTGATTTTTATAGTTCATTTATGATTAGCTCATTGATCATTAAGTACATAATGATGAGAAACAGAAACAAGGTGGGCCTTTGTTCCCCTTTGCTTGAGGTCAGAGGCATCTCACAGTGGGTGGTTCGCCAATTCATAGCCCTTGGTCTGCCAATTCCAGGAACATTTGTCTCTCATAAAGGGAACAATGGCTGATACAGCATCATTTGTCTCTTACAAGGGAAACAAAGGTTGACACAGCAAACAGGTTACTGCGGGGGGGGGGGGCGAATGATGCATACAGAACAGCATGACACGTGGTCAGTTAATCTATAACTGTGTGGTTGGTGCTTGGTTACTAGGGCAGTAAGCATAGAGCATAAGTTGTTACCACTTTGAGACTTTAAAATTTGCTTTTGAATGTAAAAGCAGGAGATGTTGATATTAGTCTAACTTTTTCAATCTATAACTTTTTTTTAAAATTTATTTTTATTTTTTTGTCTTTTTTTGGAGACAGGATCTCACTATATGGTTCAGGCTGGCCTTGGGCTCACTTTGTAGCCCAGGGTGGCCTTGAACTTGCCACAATCCTCCTGCCTCAGCCTCCTGAGTGCTGAGATTACAGGAGTGCGCCACCACACCCGGCTCCAGTCTGTAACTTTTAACCAGTTATGGCCTTGATGGTATGGTCCAAGTCAGGCCACAATGGGAAGGTTTTCTCAGACCTTTGCCAAACCTGAAACTGGATTTTTTAGAATAGGAAGAATAATAGGGTAGGAGTGGAGAGAGATTTTCCTTATGTGCCTTATGTGGTTGTTGGTATTTAAAAACCTCCTTGGGCATCCTTTGTCAGTACAGAGCAGTGCATCTGTTTCTGGAAGATGGTATCAGTGAGTATTGTCAGTGTTTGCTAGTTTACCAAATGCTCCAGGCTACAATCAATTAACTTACTGAGCTGGTGCGGCAGAGTCTGCAGCTGTTTCTCTACAAAGTGCACCATACTTCAAAGGAGTGGCTCACACCAGTTCTGTGCAGGGCTGGCAGTGGGATCCTGGCAGCCCCAAGCCTCAGTTCCGTGCAGGAAGGTGAGCGTTGGCTCCCTCGTCTTCCCCTGTGGAACTGTGTGCTTTGTGCTGGAGACTGCTGGGGGAGGTTGGGTCCTGCCTGCAGCGCAGCGGAGCTCCATACTGGGCTCTCAGAACTCAACATGGAGGTTTCTGCTTTGCAGGGCAGTTTTGTTTCTCAGCAAAGAATTATATGAATTCTACGTATTTTTTTATGTTTCATAGAATTCAATTCGCCACAATCTCTCTCTGAATCGTTATTTCATCAAAGTACCGCGTTCACAGGAAGAACCAGGCAAAGGCTCCTTCTGGAGGATAGACCCTGCCTCTGAGAGCAAACTGATAGAGCAGGCTTTTAGGAAAAGACGGCCTAGGGGCGTGCCTTGCTTTAGAACCCCTCTGGGACCGCTTTCTTCTAGGTAAGGACCAAAGGAGCCACAGGCCCTCGGCTTGGTCAGTAACTGCTCCTTCCCTCTGTGTCTGTGAAGCTTCTTTCTGCAAAGAAGAAGCCACCAAGTGCACGTGGCTGATCGTTGGGGTGGGGATTTGGGAAATGCTGGGTGCTGCCTGTGCTTTGTTCCTAGTGGCCTGAGACCTTTGAGATGGGAAGGCCCCCTGCCAGCCCTCACCACGCCTACTGCTCCCCCCATTCGATCAGATCGGCTTCCTCTGGTTGGCCACTTAATGTACCTGTGTGAAGTCTCCTTTGCTCTGGCATGGGAGAGTTCTTTAAAGCTAGCTTTGAGCTGCTTAAACTCAAGATTATTAAATCACACCTTTTTAGCTTCACGAATTCTGTTTTTAACCAATAAAAAGAGGAAAGCATGAGCCTTAAGCCTGTGTAAGCTTGTGCCCACTGCCCACCCCTCTGTTGGACTGTATAGGACCTGCTCAGATGGGCAATGAGCCCCGCTCTGGGCTGCGCAGCCTCTGACAGTGACAGGTGTGGGCAGGGTGAGTGCACACAGCCGCAGGTGTGAGAAGGGCGTGGCCTGAAGCAGCAGCAAGCCCTCTCCGAGTGCCACCACTGAATACCATTCTGTTCTCTTGGTGACACAGGAGTGCCCCCGCCTCACCCAACCACGCAGGAGTGCTCTCTGCTCACTCCAGTGGCGCCCAGACCCCCGAGAGCTTGTCACGGGAAGGCTCCCCAGCCCCTCTGGAGTCTGAGCCCAGCGCCTCCCAGCCCAAACTCGCCGTCATCCAGGAGGCCCGCTTTGCCCAGAGTGCACCAGGTAAGCCATACCTGGAGAGGAAGGCCAGAGGCCCTGCACCTATGCTGTGCCTGCACCTATGCTCAGGTATGCCTGGGCTGGCAAAGCCAGCAAAGGTGTTTCACATGGCCCTGGGTATGGATGCCCAAAATAATGTAGAATTCATCTGCTTCTCAGTTAGTTGCTTCATCTCTCAAAAAGTTACAAAAATGACTCCACCCTCCCAGAAAATCCACAGATTACAAAACTTAGACCCTCATTGGAGGCAGAGTGCCTCCACTGAATGATACAAGTCATAATTAGACAAAAGCGTGTTTCCTGGAGAAAGAAAAACTACATAGTGGGGAAATGTGCCCAAATTAAGGCTGTGCTACGGTAGGGGTCCCTGCCATGCCGGCCCTGGGCACGTCCTGTGGGTTCCCCACTGCACTGCCTGGCCTTTGCTGTGCTCCTTCAGCCCAAGTACCTGGAGTCAGCTAGGAGCTCTCGGCGCCTCTCGCCTTCCATGTGAAGATAGGGGACCCAGGTCCGGCCGGCTGTCTGGAGTTGGCTTCCTCTCCGCGCAGCAGGGTTGCTTCCATGAAGAACTATGGAAGCAGTGTTGTCTTAGACACCCCTCTTGAGATACCGCAGGCTTCTCATTGTTAGCGACTTACAAGGTGAAACGGCCACACCCCGTGTCTTAAAATCAGAACAGACGTGTCAGCCAGTGCTCAGTGTGCAGACTTCATTCCTGTAGAGGCCACGTGAGCCCAGCCCTGCTCCCTTTTTCCCCTGCAGGGTCGCCTCTGTCTAGTCAGCCCGTCTTAATCACTGTGCAGCGGCAGCTACCCCCGGCCATGAAGCCTGTCACCTACACTGTTGCTACCCCTGTGACCACCACCACTTCCCAGCCACCTGTCGTGCAGACGGTCCACGTTGTCCACCAGATACCAGCTGTGTCTGTCACCAGTGTGGCTGGACTGGCCCCAGTGAACACATACACAGTTGCTGGGCAAGCCGTGGTCACTCAGGCGGCAGTTTTGGCCCCTCCTAAGACAGAGCCACATGAGAATGGAGACCACAGAGATGTCAAAGGTGAGCACGGGAGGACAGGATTGGGCGGGGACAGCAGCACAGAGCTGGTACCTGGCAACCTGGTAGAAGGAAGGCAGAGGGACGCTTCTATCTGTCCCTGTTCTGTGACTTGCTTTTAAAGACATTTTATAACAGGCCTAGAGCCAACTAATTTTTTATTTTGTCTTTTTGAGGCTAAGTTTCACTATGCAGTTGAGGCTGACCTTGAATTTGTAGCCAGGCTGGCCTCAACTTCAAAGCAATCCTCCTGCCTCAGCCTGCCAAGGGCTAGAATTACAAATGTGTGCCACCATGCCATAATTTTAAAGTTTAAGTTGGTGAGATTTTTATTACCTTTCCCAAACTACTAGTTGGTGCCATCTCTTTTTCATTTCAGTGAAAGTAGAACCTGTTCCTGCGATTAGCCATGCCACGCTGGGCACTGCCAGCCGGGTGATCCAGACGTCACAGGCAACCCCTGTTCAGACAGTCACCATAGTACAACAGGCATCCCTTGGCCAACACCAGCTTCCAATCAAAACCGTGACACAGAATGGGACTCATGTGGTGCCGGTCCCCACTGCCGTGCACAGCCAGGTGAACAACGGTAAGCGGTGCCATCTACCATTGTGGCGCTTCTCAGGAGTGGTCCTGTATGCCATGCAAGCAGGCATCCCACTAGCGCTCGGGCTCTGCTTGGCCCTGTTGCTCTCTGGAAATATCTGTGCTTCTGAGCTGTGGGAACTGCAGTCCCTGCAGGAGACCTAGCAGCTCCTCAGGAAGGTGGCTGCCATGGGGCCCAGCACCAGCGTTGGAGCAGCTCTCCTCGTGCAGGGACTCTACAGGGAGTCTGACTGGAGGGAGATCAGGGTGCTCTCCTGCACTCTGCTCCAAATGCCCTTTCGGGACTCGCACACGTTAGAGACGCTGCCAGCATTCTCGAGACCCGAGGAGCTGTGTGAACCCTCACTTTGGGCCGCCTGGTGCAGCGTGCTGAGGAGTCCTGGCTGTCATTAACCCTACCCACAGGTGCAGGGTCCCGGGCTCTCACTGCACAGCTGTGTGGGTTTGGGGGTGGCTTTGTGGCAGAGCGCCTGTCTGGCATTAGCACATGCAAGGCCCCTGGTCAGAGCCCAGCATTGCATGGAGGCCTTGCACTGCAGAAGTGACTGGCCCAGGGTCCTTGTGCCCAGCTCAGCCACAGGTGCACCGGAGATGCCTGGGTCAGGAAGGTGTCTGTGGCGGGGCTGGAACCCAGAGAGCCAGCACCCTCCCTGCATCCGTAGCAGCTCCAGGCTGCTGTTTCTCTTGCACACAGCACCTACGGTTGACTCTGCCCGTGCCAGGCTTCATGTCATCCTTGGGTGGTTCTGTGCAGTGCCTCAGATGTTTGAGTTTGTAAAGGGTCCTCTATAAATGACAGCAAGGAATTTCACTTTCTGCCGTCAGCATGAGAATGAAAGTCTGGCCACCCAGCTCTCGGCCCCTGCTCTGCGGCCTTGGCACTGTTTACTGGCCCTGGCGCTATTCACTGACCAGGGGACAGACTATGAGGAGACGCAGTTGCTTTATCGTTGCTACAGAAATGCAGGGAACCAAAACCACAGTTCTCTCTAAACAAAAACGTTTTTAAGAAGAAAATTACAGGGGCTGGGGCTCAGCGGCATAAGCGCCTGCCTTGCAAGCGCGTGGTTGTGAGTTTGATCCCAGTATTGATAAAAACAAACAAACAAAAGAAACAAAAAGAAAATTACATTTTATAAGTTTTACTGTTCTTAGCATAAACTTCAGTGCTTTCTGTTAGAACCACAGCCTCCTGAATGCCCTTGGTGTCAGCCAAACCTACGTTCTGTTTCCGTGTTAACCAGTCACATCCTACAGAAGCTATATAGTTTGGTCGCTGCTGTTTTTGTTTTCCAGCATTGGTACCCACCCAGGGTTTCCTGTTCGAGGCAAGGCTCTACCACTGAGCTAGCCCCAGCACCTTCATTTTTGAGACAGCATCTCCCTCAGTTTCCCAGGCTAATCTTGACCTTGTGGTTCTCTACCATAGCCTCATGAGTAGTGGGTGTGTACCACTGCATCGGGTTCTGTCACCCTCTGACAACAAATGTGCTTCGCCTAAGTTATAAAACACAGCACAGTATTAGCATCTGTTCTGGGGCCTTCACCTGTCACACCAGCTGCCCACACCGGAAGGAGGCCCTCTTCTGCTCCCTTTTCCACCTGTGACACTGGATTGGGTAGGTGTGGCAGGCCCTGCACTTTCCTATTGTCCACACTGAGTCCTATTCCCACTCAGGAGGAGGAAAGGCAGAGGTGATGTGACAAGCCATTCGGTGGTCTGCTGGCGACTGTTGCTTCAGCGTGACCCAAGTCTGCCTAGGAGCCCTGAGGCATTCGCACCCTGGAGTCACGGTTCTGCTCCATGATGCCAGTGTTTGTAGTTACTCCTCTGCTTCTACCCGTCCTGTGTGATCACCCTGAGAGAGAGAGCGCTGCAAAGAGGCAGCTGAGGTGGTCAGTGACCAGGGTGGGGAGTGTGGCAGGTAGGCCCCAGGGAGACCCTGAGCTGGTATCCTTGGCAGCAGCAGGAGTGGGGTGGCATTGCTTACTTCATGTGACGGCCACACCACAGGGAGTTGGGACCTGACCCCCATCGCTGCTGAGAGCGCTCTGATGCCCTCTCTGTAATTCCAAATTCTTCCTTCCCCCGCCTTCCTTCCTTCTCTCTCTCTTTTCTCTTGTGCTAGTGATCTGACGACGGCCCTCATGCACGCCAGGCAGGTATCTGCCGCTATCTCCTACTCTGGCCCTTTGATAAGCTTTGCACTGTAGAACAAATCCAGCATTTTGGAAAACAATTAGCCGGTAGCCAGGCAAGTCCCGTTTTCATACCACACATCTCTCCAGATGCAGGTGCTGTTTAGTGAGGAGCAAACTGCTGATACAGAGCACTTCCTTTACAGCCAGGAGCTTACTGTAGTTTGGATCATTAACTCTGTCTTTCTGATTGTGTGGTCAGTGCACACAGTGTGTGCGTCCCTGCCCGCCTCCCTGAGATGAAACTTGGGGCCTTTGCACTGAGCGACATTCCCAGCCCTTTGTGCTTTTTTACTCTGAGATCAAGTTTTACTAAGTTGCCTAGTCTGGGCTTGAATTTGCAATCAGCCCGCCTCAGCCTCCCAGAGTGAAGTTTACCATCTTAAGTAAATAGTTCAGTGGCACTGAGCAGGTTCCTAGTGTTTAAAACCACTCCGTCCATCTGGTTCGGACCCATTTCATCATTCCAGAGAGACCCTTGGTCCGGGGGCGTGGTTAGCTTAGTGGCACAGGCGCCCGCTGACAAGCGCAGGGTCATGAGTTCAATCCCCGGTACCAAAAAAAAGTAAAAAACAGAAAGCAGCCCTTAGCTCCTGACAGGCTTCACTCTGCTTGGTGTCTCTGGAGCTTATGTGCTGGGTGCCTTGCTTTCATGGTGTGTGGCCTTCTGGGCTCCTGCCTGGCTCCTCTCCCCGCTCTGCACCATTTCTAACCAGATGGCCCCTGACCCCACCCCGTTCATTCATTCAGCAGTCATTGGACTCCGCCTCCCAGCTCCTAGGAAGAATGTTGCTGTGCACACTCGTGTGCAGGTGTGTCGAGCTCACGCTTTCTTTTCTTCGGGGTATACACTCATGAGTGTCACACAATCGTTCTGTTCCATTTACTGAGAAATCTTCGCACTGCTGCCCATGCCGCAGAACTACTTCTGGGTTCCTGCGGCAGCCTGGTGCCCTGCCGTCCGCAGCCTCACACCCCAGGTGCAGCCACGTGTACCCTGAGGCTCCAGAGAGGAGAGCTGTGCTGTCAACTGCGTGGGAGAGATGGCCGTGCTCCTCACCCAGTGCAGAGTTGGCAAACAACAAGGTGCTGCCAGCCCCCATGAGTACCACCGTGTTTCCCTCCTCCCCGCGGTAGAGGGGGTACAGTTGTTTGGGAACAAGTCTCGCTGTGAAGTTCAGGCTGACCTTGACTTTCAGGTGATTCTGTTGCTGCAGCCTCTGGAGTGCTCAGATGAAGGCACCCCGTCATCTCAGCGTGACTTTAAAATAGTTTTGACTTGGGTTTTTCTAATGATTAATGAGGCAGGCATCTTTCCATGTGCCTTGGTAATTGTGCGTCCTCTGGAGAAATGTGTGTTTAAACCCAGTGTTTCCATTGGACAGTCTCTTGCCACCATGGGCTGGAAGGTTGCAAGTCCTCTTCCTGGCGGGCTGTGGCTAGAGAATGTTTCCTCTGTGCACTCCAGGACTCACCTTCGCCTCTGTGAGTCAGCTCTGGCTGGGACACACAGTGGGCTTGTGCAGGGCCCTGGCTGAGGCACTCACCATCCCTGAACTGCAAAGGCTGCCCAGCCCAACTCTGGTCACTTGTCTCTGTTGTGTGGTGTGGAACATCCTCACCTGCTGCTGGTACATGCGTGTCCCTCATGCTGTGTCCCTTCCCCTCCTGCACTGTGGCTGAGGGGCGAAGCTATGGCAGAACGAGCCCCAGGGGTCAGCCATGCTCCTTGCTGGGCCACAGGTGTCCCCTGTCCACACCCAGCCCCGCATGGACCTGGAGGTTTCCTGAGGAGGGCAGAGCAAGTGCTTGCTGCCTGGCCAGAAGGTTGGGCTGCCTGCCTCCCTCCCTCGGCCCCCAGCCCTCTGTGACCCCCGCCTGGGGCTTCTGGAGCTGCTGCCTGTTCTGGGCACCAAGCAGGCTCTGTCCTTGCTGTGGGTACTGGGCACGGTATGTGGTGTTTGTGACCAGCTAAGCCCCTGGCTGAGCTGGAGCCGCACAGGAAGCTGGTTGCTCTTGGTGGCTCTCACAGCCGGGCGGAGCCAGGCAGGACCCTGCGCCTGCCCTTGCAGGTGTGTGGATCCCCACAGATCCTTGTCCTTTAGAGTTGCACTTCCTTGCTGAGGACACAGGAGAACCAGGCACCAAGCAGGCCTTTCTCCAGGGGGCCCTGCCCCTCTGTTCCTTGGCTCCATGCAGAGAAGTTGCACTTCCCTCTCAGTGGGCCTGAGCCCTCTCCTTAGTCCTGCATCACGTTCCCCCAGGCCCCAAGTGTGGCACTAATGCCTAGGATTTGAGGCGTCTTCTTTTGCCCTCCCTGGCTCCTTTGTCCTGTGAGGCCCAGTGCCCTGGACCTTGGCAGAGATCTGGCCTCCCCAGAGTGGTGCACAGTGGCTGCCGCAGCACAGACATCCCTGTGTCAGTGTGACCCTCCCAGTGGTTCACCTGGCCTCAGCGTATGCTGCCTTGCAGAGGTGCAGAGTCAGTGCATGCCCCATGTACAGGGCCGTGCCGCCAGTAGTGGTTGAGTTGGAAAGTGCATGGTCTCGCTTTGCCTAGTGACATCCCGATCAGTTTCCTTCCGACCCACATGTTCAGCCCACAGCCAGAGCTCTCTCCTCCGTGGCCTGCCACTGCTGTCCGTGCACCTTAGCTCAGGAGTGGCACAAATGTCCCTGTGCCCATGTGGAGGTGCCCATCCAGCCCACTGGTCCCCAGGACTGTCAGAAGTCTTCACCTAAGATGTGTTGTCCTCCAGCCACCATCTTTCTGACTTTTGTCATGCCCAGCCTGGTCCTCTGCCTTTCCATTTGAGTTTCAGACTTCTTGCTTGGAAACCCACTGACCTATGGTCAGGATGGGTTGAGTCCAGGGACAGTGTGGGCAGAGCTAGCTCTGAATGGTGTTGGGCCTGTCTTGAGATCGCAGTGTGTCTTGTTCTGTGTGCCCTACCCATTCACTTAGTGTCCTGTGTCCTCTGCCTGCAGGTGACATGTGAATACCAGAGTCCCTCAGCATCACGACTACCCAGACCTAACAGAGCAGGGCCTGCACATCCCTGGGGGTGCGCAGTGTGAGGCCTTGTGCGTCTTCCGCAGGCAGGACCAGCTGTCCTCTCAGGAGGGGCAGCTTAGCACCCTACCGAGGCTGCCAGGGTGGTGCATGAGGGGCCCAGGACGGCCACTGTGCAGATTCGGGGGCCTATACCCAGGACTCTCCAGGCACAGCAGGAGGCTGGGGACCTGGACCACCCTCCTTGTTGTCATTCGCACACCAGCGTGCAGAGTAAACAAGTGACCAGCAGAGCTGAAGCCAGAGGGACCTGCTCACCTCTCTGCCGTGTGGCTGCGTCTGTGTGACGGGGAAGCAGGTGGTCTCTGAGCCTGTGCCCCCTCCCTGACCAGTGCTCTGTCCTGAGTCTCCCCTTCTCCTTTACCTGGCAGAAGATGGTGCATACCATACCCAGAAGGACCTAAAGTGTCTCCATCATGGCCCCTGGGATCCCAGTGTGTCCCAGACACAGCGGCTAAGGAGACTGCCAGGCTGGAGTGCTATGGGGACAGAATGCCCTGGGGCGCTGGCAGCCATGTGCGTATGCTTGAGGGGTCAGGACTAGAGAGCTGTGTGCCTGCTGCTGCACCAGAGCCCGTGCCTTCCCAGGGGCTGGGTCCTCTGTCCAGTGCCTTCTTTGGAGTGGGCAGGGCCTGCCTGGTGTGGGAGGCTTTCTGCTCTGCTCAGCGCTCACTGATTTCGACACTGACCTCATCTAAATGGTGGCTGCACAAGTGCCCTCGGGTGGTCTCGGCCAATGTCAGGGCCTGTGGCTCGGCTCCAAGAGCATCGTGGCCAACAGGCCACAGGGGCTGCTCTCTGCCTCACTGTGCACGCCCAGCCCCCCAGATGTGCACAGCGCTGACGGCTGTGCTGTGGAGGCTGCAAGTGGCCCCACACAGGGTAAGGGGACACAGCCTCTTCTGTTTGGCTGAACTTAAAGAATCCAGCAGCAGTGCAAAAGAGCTTGCTTTCAGAAGCAACAGAAACAGTGGTGGTTGGTAATTAAAAGCCCGACACACTAGGTGTCATCGACCTGCCACAGCTGGGGCCCCACAGCCAGCATGGACCCCGCAGCCCAGCCCACCTGGGGCTGCCCTGGGTCCTTGGGGTGGCCTGGGGGTGGGGCTCCCTGCTGTGGGGGCTTCACCGCTATCTCTTTACAGCTGCTGCCAGCCCCCTGCATATGTTGGCGACCCACGCATCAGCCTCGGCTTCCCTGCCCACGAAGCGACAGAACGGCGACCAGACTGAGCAGCCGGAACTGAAGCGGGTCAAGACAGAGGATAGTGACAGCATCGTCATCGCCCTGAGTGTGGATGCACCCCCGGCGACACTGAGGGACTAGGGGTTCGGAGCCCGTGGCCAGGAGGGCTTTCTCACTACAACATCAACCTCGTGGTGCCAAAAGTGGACTTTGCCTAGCCGACCTGGCCGGCCTGGTGGAGAAGGCCCTGCAGGCTACCTGCGCCCCAGCGCTGGGACATGAGCCCAGGTGGCCTTAATGCTCTCGGCCGACTGCAGTCACACCTTGGTCTAGACGCTGGCTCCCTGTGGGGCGCTCGTGGGGAAGGTGTCCCATCCACCCAGGGCCAAGCTGCGCCAACCAGAGCGCCCCACAGGACCCGCTGTGGCTGGGAGGCAGGACAGCCTTTGTTGTTTGTGTGGAGTTAGAATATTCTGAGGCGTGACGTCTCTGGTCCTTCCCATCACTCCGTGTGTGCTCTGGAAAGTTCAGAATCACAGAACCCTTCATCTGGATCCATTTGGGGTCAGCAGCATCTTCTGTCACTTTTATTTGTGTGCTGGCGTTGGCCCTGGACAGTGCCCACTCTGTCGGTGGGGTGGGGTGCGGTGTGGCTCCTGCCTGGACCCTGCCAGGTTCCATCAGGAAGGGTCTCGGCCTGAGGCACGGAAGGCACCTGGCTGGCTGGCAGGTGGGTGGCCAGCTCTCACTTGCTTCTCTATGTTGACTTTGTCCCTGGCCTAATTTCCCAACCCGAGTAAAACAAGTCTCCTAAGTGTTGTGTGTGCTTACGCATGGAGCCCTGCCTGCCCTCAGGAGGGTTTGTCTCATCACACCGCTCTGAGGCGCAGATCACGGATCCCGCTGGGGTGGGATGGGGAGGGGCGGCGGGCGGTGCCTAGAGGTTGCCTGGGGCTGCCAAGGGGAGTCCCTGAACTTCCAGAACTGAGTCCAACACTAAGGCCGACTTTGGGGCCGGCTGCGCAGCCACGCACCCAGGCTACAGCCTTATTGTGAATTTTTTAATGTCATCATCATAGTGTTATTTATTTAAATGTAGTTGCTTTGGTATTTAAGTTTTTTTTAAAGAGAGGGGGAAAAAACCCTGTATTTTCCTGATGGAATGAAATGGCTCAGAATGGTATATTTAGGCAATTTAAACCATTTATTATTTACATAAAGACCAAATATGATCAATCTGTTCTAAGTATTGTGTGTCGCCGTCTCAAGCTGTCACAGTGTATTCAGGCGATGCGTGTGAGTCACGAGGTCACTGCGAACTGCTGGATTTATAACTCGGCCATGTGAAAATAAAAGTGAGACATCCTGTGCGTGAGCCGTGTGTGTGACGCTAGCACGCAGCCTCCGCGGAGCCGTGCCTGTGCCTGCCCTGCAGCCCCCAAGCCCACACCTTGGGCATCTTCATCTCCTCCCTCAGAAGCTCTGCCGTTCGCAAGACTCCTTGGACTGAGTGACACCCACGCAGGGTCTGGACCTCTGGGCCCAGTGCTGCTGTCTCCGACTGGAGACCGGCTCAGTGACCTGGGCAGAGCCCTGCGTGTCCTGGAGCCCCTTCCAGGGCAGCAGGACCTAGCAGACTCCTTGCACTAGCTGTCTGCATGCTGAGCTCACCGAAGGCCTGGGGGGCTCTCGCAGGGCCCTGGGGCTGGCTGGGGGTGGGATGTGATCCTCCGGGCACAGGTGGGAGGAGGTGCTCTTTTGCCTTCTTGGGCTTTCCTCTGAGGCCGCTGGCAGTACTCCTCCAGCCCTCTGCTGTGGCACATGGGGGTTAAAACTCACAGCGCAGGCAGAAACCACCCCAGATTAGCAAGGGACTCTGCCCAGATTTTCTCCCCCTTTAGGGCTCTGTAGGTCCTGTGTGGTTTTCAGTCCCTGGGAACCTGCTGCTATAGAGAGGTAGCTCCTTCAGGCACAGGAAGGCCACAGGGTGCAGCCCTGTCCACCTATCTTTCCCTTCCTGAGAGCTCTCTGACCTTTGCAAACTTCTGAGCTCCCTCAGGGACTAGGAACTTTAATGTTAGCATCTTCACCCTGAGCCTGCAAGGATACAGGGAGACCGCCTGCGACCCAGAAGTGTGGGTGTCCTGGCCCTGAGTGGCCTTTCCACTGGCTGCTTGTGACAGTGGGCCTTGGGACCCATATTGCACCCGGCTTCTGTGGTTGGAGCGCATGGAGGGTGATACATGTGCAGAGATGTGAAATTTTTAAAAGTACCAAGTTCCTGAAATTCAATAAAATATTTTTATTAATTTTAACTGAATATGGAGTGTCATTGTCACTTCCACATCCTCCTTGACCTTTCTGCGCTCCTCTGAGCACACCAAGGGCAGCCAGGAAGGGGGAGGGCTGCAGGATCAGAGCAGGGTCCTGTCCACTGCGCTGGTGCTGACATGGGGTTGGAGGTGTGTGCAAGCAGCTGTCACTGCCTTTCCTTCTGAGGACTGTCCCTCCAACCTGAGGGCCAAGGTCGTGGCCAACAGTTGGAGCATGGGAGATCTCCAGAAGCTGTGGGTGTTTTGGTCCCAGGCAGTGACACAGCGTTTCCCACATTGCTACACTGCTATCTTCAGGCTCCTGCAGTACCCCAAGTCCCAGCCAGGTGCTCAGAGTCCTGCAGCCAGTAGGGTTGGAGGAGGACCAACCTGCCTGCACACCTGGTGCAGCAGCTGCCATCTCCAGCCAGGGGCCCCATGCTGCGTCTGGTGGCCACATTGCCTGCAACGTTAAGAGGTGCTGGGAGACCTGTTGCTGGCTTCATTGCTGCAGCAACCTTGGCCAGAGCCACAGGCAGAGAGAGCTGTGTGTAACCCACAGGGAGCTGGAAACCTAGATCCCTGGGTACAGCAGTGTCTCATGTCCTGGGCTGCATGGCACTGCCCAACACAGGTGAGGGAACAGGTCCCAGACGAACATTCTGGGAAACAACTAATGGATACGCTGTGGCTGGAGGGCAGCGCCCAGCTCAGGGTCCCTCACTCCTTTCCACAGAGCTGGGCTGAGGGCGCTGGAGGCCCAGCAGTCTGCGGGCTCCACTGCCCTTGCTGCAGACCTTTTCAGGGCGTGCAGGGCCCCAGCTGGATGGGTGGAACACTGGACACGCCTAGGCTTGTGGAGGGCTGGACCTGAGCCTTCACCTACTGATGGCCTGGGGGAGACTGCAATGAGGGAAAAAAAGCCCCTACAGCCCTGCATTGATGGCCACAGCTTTACATCCTGCAGCAGCACAGACCCGAGGGAGCCCTGGCTGGTCCTGGAGTCGCAGACAAGGCTGACCAGAAGCTGTGGCCAGGACAGCAGGCAAAACCTTCAGTGCTGTCCAGAGAGCACAATAGCAGACGGAGCCAGCAGTCTCGGCCCCAGGGAAGGCGGGCAGATGGGCATCGGCAAGGGTTCCTTCAAGGCTTTGCTGTGGAAGGCGCTCTTGGAACTGAGCTGAGAGAGCAGGTCTTGGGCGCAGGGCAGGATTTGATCACATTTCAGGAATGTGGGCGCACCCACCCATGTGAGCATCTCATGGACAGTAAGCTTCTTAAATGCTTTCCTGAAACAAAGATTCATGAGCAAGGCTCATGAATTCCAACCAGGATACACAGAATTCTGTTGGGGCAGGTGTGTTGGTGCACGCCTAGAGTCCCAACACCCTGAGAGTGGAGGCAGAAGGAATCACAAACTTGAGCTCAGCCCAACTTACTGAGACCTCATCTCAAAGGTTTTATTTTTTTTTTGGTGGTACCAGGGATGGAACTCACGACTTCGCACCTGCCAGGCAGGCGCTTGTGCCACTGAGCTAAAGCCCTGGCCCTTGTCTCAAAGATTTTTAAAAGCTGTGGATGAAAAAAAAAAGAAGCTGCGGATGTAACTTGATGGGGAGCCCTGCGTTCAGTCCCTAGTACCATAAATGAAGTTATTTTTAAAATACAGTAGAAACTTTTTTTTTTGTCTTTTTGCAACAGGGTCTCACTGCACAGTTCAGGCTGGCCTCCGAACTCACTTTGTAGCTCAGGCTGCAGCTGAACTCACAGTGATCCTCTTGCCTCAGCTTCCTGAGTGCTGGGATGACAGGCGTGCCTCACCAAGCCCGGCAACTTTCTAATAGTTACGTTAAATATAACTGCTCTCAACACACTAAAGACCTCCTCAGGCTGGATTTCTTAAAAAAGGCCCAGCTTGCTGCTCTACAAGTAATGAGATGATTAGGAATTAATGGTAGCAGTTGTGCCTGGCTGGCCCGTCCTGAGAGAAGGTGTGGGCCAGCTCTGGGACAGACAGTTACAGGGGGCAAGAAGGACATTATGGCCCAGTGTGTTGGTGCACACCTATAATTACAGCACTCTGGAGGCCGAGGCAGGAGGATCTAGAGTTCAAGGCTCAGCTCCAGGACCTAGTTCAAGTTTAGGCTGGACTGGGCAGCAAGGTCTTGTCTCAGAAAATGAGTAACAGTGGCGAGGTCAGCACACAGGGATGGTGTGAACTATTCTGGCATCACGCAAGTCCCAGCACAGCCACACACAGATGGAGCAAAGCAGGCGCAGTGCGGGGCTCCACGGACTGCTCCCTGCCCTGTGAGCTGAATGGCCAGAAATTGAGACCTAAGGAGAAGCAAGGTCCACGTGCTGCCGATGCCCTTTTCTGGCAGTGGACAGGACAGCAGTTTGGCCAGGCATGTGGACCGAGCCCGTAGGGCCAAGCTGACTCTGGCTATACCAGGAGCCACTCAGGGAAACCTTCAAATGCTTGGACATGAGACGACCCATTTCAAAACAGCTCACGAGTCAGCGAGCAGGTCTGGAGGAGAACTAAACAGTATCTGCAGCAGAAGGACCCTGAAAATGGGTGGGGATCTGGCCAAGACACCCAACCTCCTGAGGCAGGGAGATGGTGCGGCATGCTGGTGTTGTGCAGGGGCCAGGAGGTCAGCGCCGCAGCATGGGCTCACCAGTGCTTAGAGTGTCCACAACCACCGCAGAGGGCACCACAACTTCTGGTTTTGGGGTAAACCTTCATGCCTTCAGCTTTGGCAAGATTCTTATATTCCACATGAAAAGTATGAAGAAAAAAGATAAACTGAACTTCGTTAAAAAAACTGCATCAAAGGGCATTTTCAAGAAGGTAAAGACAATCTACAGAATGGGAAGAAGGATTTGCAAATCATGTAAGGGTCCACGGCTTGGCAGCAAACAACCCAGTTTAAAAGTGAGAACACACAGCCAGGAAAGTAGCTCAGTGGCACAGCGCCTGCCCGGCAAACGTGGAGTCATGAGTTTGAGGTCAGCATGGGCTGCACGGTGAGTTTGAGGCCAGCTAAAACAAACAAACAAACAAATTCCAGCCTGAATTTTATAGTGAGACTACCTCAAAACAGTAAATCAATAACAACCAGGCATAGTGGCACCTTCTGTAATCCCAGCTACTTTGGGAGGCTGAGGCAGGAGCAGCCAAGCTGGGGGTTGCAGACCAGCTTTGTGTCCCAGCTCAGTGCCCAGTTCCGAAGCTCTGGCTCACCTCTGCAACATGTGAGCTTTGCACTCATGCTGTGACTAAACGAGACATCAAAGCACAAACACCGTGTGACCCCATGGATGTGAAGCATGGAGTCCACAGAGCAGTGAGAAAGGTCACTGAGGGCTGAGCAGAGGCACGTGAACCAGGTGCACTGGGGACTGTACTCACAGCCTTCACACTGAACTGTGCTCCTCTTTATACTCTGAATCACGTTTCACTAAGTGCTCTAGCTGGGGTTCCAAACTGTAACCCCCCTGCCTCTGCCTCCAGAGTTCTGGGATGACAGGTGTGGGCTACAGTGTTCAACCGGGTAAGGTGTTTCGATTAGGAGGCAGGTAGGATGCCGCTGACTGGCCACTTTTGGCTTATATAAAAGGCACGCGCTACAGAGCCCAGTGGAGACACTTCCCAGAGCCATGCAGACGGCTGGCATGAGCAGAGACCCCGCCTTGCTGGTCCTCAAGGATGCGCAGCAGGGTCACAGTGAGGCCTCACATCACACAGACTACTGTGGTCGGGCCTCTTGGTAACATTCTTATTCTTACCAAAAAAATGTGCACTTGAGGATGAGCAGCTGCTGGTACATAAATTTGGCCTCCTAAAGCCTCTAAATTCCACCCACTGAAAAGCAGGGTCTCTCCCGGGGTTTGGAACAGCACAGAACTGATGCTGGGCCTGCTGCTGTTTGAGCAGCAGGGATCACACAGATCACACATCTGCAAACTGTGGTGGCCTGCGTGAGACTGAGCCAGCATCTGCAGCCAGTCTTACAGCCCGGACCTCTGGGTCTGGCTCTGAATTTCCTCCCTAAGGAAGCCCTTGGGCCAGGCTGGGCTACCTTTATTGGTGCAGCCTCATCTAACCAATAACCTCTGCAGTTAGGGTCATATCCACTTGGGAGGACCATTGTGGGGACACCCCTCAGCCCACAACTGCACACAGCTTGAGGTCTGGCCTTGCCCGCTTGTGCTCTCAGTTCAATCCCAGTGCTACAAGTGAATGAATGATTAAACATATGAATGAATAAAATAAACACCAAGAGCCAGATGTGGTGGCAACTCCTGTAATCCCAGCACTCCAGAGGCTGAGGCAGGATGGTTGCAAGTTCCAGACCAGTCTGGTTTACAAAGTGAGCCCAAGGCCAGCCTGAACTGCATAGGAGACTCCGTCTAAAAAATAAACATCAAAACTACAAAATTAACCTGAAACCCAAGGTACAAACGTATGACAGAGCTAAGAAACTGCACACCAGTGTCTCTTATATACATGCCCAAATCAGACCACCCTTCAAGTATTAGCAGCAAATTCAGCAACATTCAGGCCTATGCCATGAACAAGTGGGCTTTCCCCACAGCGCTCAGCTGAAGAGAACAAGTCCCTGTGGTTCCCAGCTCTCATGTAACAGAAAGGATGAATGTGATCATCTCTCTGATGCAGAACTGCCTGACACAATTGGCCTACCCTCTGGCGGTTCAGTTGCTTCCTAGCTGTCCTGCTGTCCTGAGTGGGCTCAGAACATTCCTGCTACATGCTTGTTTTGACTTCTGGGTAGTAGTGGCAGCAGCGGCAGTGGCAGCAGCAGTGTTCACTGTACGCTGATTGCACCTCAGAAAGACACTCAGGAAAGGGCACTTCAGCAACTGCTTCAGAAAGTGGCAAAGATGATAGAAAAGTGCTCAAAGTGAAGGGACTTGGGGCTGTAGATTTAGCTCAGTGGTATAGCGCCTGCCCTGCAAGGGCAAGGTTGTGAGTCCTAATCCTGCTACCAGGGAAAAACAAAACCACCAAGTGAGGAGATCCTGGGGGATTCACTGTAATAAATTTAAAAGGTTCACCGTATGTTGTGCTCACACCGTGAATCCCCAGTGTTCCCTGACATTGCCGTGGGAGACTGAATGCGTGCCCAAAGCGTGATCCTAGCAGAAGTGTGAGGATGCCAGGGTAGAATCTTGCAGGGAGAGGTAGCAGACCAGCAGTCCTTTAATCCAGGGTGGTGGCCACACAAGTGTGTAATTCTGTATGCACAGAAACTTCCACATACTAGTGAAGGACACAGATTCACATGCTGGGCAGCTGTGGGGTGTCACAGTGTGCCCGAGCGGGAGTTACTAGTCTGAAAGCTGCATTGCACCCCGCAGTGGCGCAGGCCTTCTCTGATGGCATGAATGCAGGGAGCGGCACTCTGCCATGCACGGTGTCACCTCAGCTCACGAATGCTTTTGCTTGCGGACAATTGAGTGTGCGAGGAGAACTGCGAGCAGGCAATTCTGTTTGGAAACTGTCAGGGGCATCTTTCCTGAACAAACGAAAATGTTTCCCGAACTGCAGGACAGATGAAATCTGTGAACCAAGGTACTGGCCATACTCTCCCGTGTTCTCTAGTTAGAAGGGATACAGTACTGCTGGCCAGACGGAGGGCGGGGCAGGGCCTGCACAGGGCCGCCATCCTGCATAGGGCGGGTGTGCTGTGGCCCACAGCTCACACACCTTAGAGCTGGGGGCAGGACGGGCACTGGAGGCACAGGCCCACCTGGACGGCCTGCCAGTAGGCAGGACTTCTAGAATCGTGATGGACTTTCTTTTTTTTTTTTTTGTGATGGACTTTCTGTACCCTCCCCCAGCCCGGCAGGCTCAGGGCCCAACACTGGAGGCAGAGGTGGTGGCAGTGCTGCTCCTGCTGTCCATGCAGCGGGCACTCACTGTGTCTAGGAGGCGTGGCAGCCTGGAGGGCACATCAAGGGACAAACCAGAACCAGCACCAACTTCAGGTACTGATGGGTCATGGCGTGGGCTTGGGAGGTGACAGGGAGGCTGCTGCCCGATGCTGGCCAGTATGGCAGGGCTCCTGGTGTCACCCTAGGCACCAGAGTTGCAGGCCTACCTAACCGAGCCAGGGCCACACTGAGGGGCCCTGTGCGTGTGTGCTGCACACTCCCAGGGTAACATCTCTTACACTAGGCTACATTTGGGGAAACCACGCAAGCTGGAAATCGTGCAAACACAAAGGTTTGCCCTACTCTCTGGCCTACAGACAGTTCTGCAGTATTGGACAATGCAAGGCTCATCAGCCGAGGAGGAAAGACTGGTGTCCAAAGTGTCATCCACCCCAATGCCCCACTGAAGGGCAGGCGGAAGCCTCTGCAGGCGGTAGGACATAGAGGGACCAGGCCTGCTCTCCAGCCCACGGTCCCTCCCTCTTCCAGCTGCTCCCCTGCCTGGAGGCCGGGCCACACAGCATTCTAGCAGGAGACTCTGGCCCTGTGTCCACAGTGATAGGACAGTCAGACCCCCGGGTCGAGGAGTCCTGAAATCCACCATCCAACCAGAGTCTCAAAACAAGGAGAACAAAGTCTACCAGAGTCTCAAAACAAGGAGAGCAAAGTCTGCCTTCACAGCACAGTGCCCTGTTCTCTACAATACAAAATACAACAAAATTAGTCACTTTTATTTAAAGAAACAGTACAAATAAGTGCAAAATTAAACGTCATGATTAAATACACGAAAAGGCAACATGCATCTTTGACATTGAAACCCATGTATAATAGTCGGTTACACAACAGCGAGGAAACGGCAGACTGAGGACCTGCTGCGATGCAGACTGTAAGTATTTGCAGCCTGAAATCAAAATCACGAAATAAGCTTCTTTTGAGGGAACTGAAGAAAATTAAACACATACCTCAGGGGGCACAGACACTGTGGAGCCCTCGGCCTATCTCGGTTCTTTAACTGGGATGTGCCTTGCATTCCCAAAATGTTAAGTGTGCAGCTACTCAAAATGCTGGGCGACACTGAGGGGTGGATGCAGCATCTAAGGCTACCCCTGCCACAGAGGCCCCAGGGACACATGGCCCGCTCTGTGGAGGAGTCCATCAAATAAAGGGACAGTGTCCTTTTAAACTCATTTTTCAAAGTCTATGCATTGGTTCCCTACATGTAATGGGCAGACTGCTTGAACCCAGAGTGAACTGGGAAAGCTAACTGCCCCTACCTTCTGGAACCCGGGGCCAGGGCTCTGCCTCTGGGGGATGCGCAGCTCTGGTGTGGACGGCTGGGTCTTCCACTGGGGACCTTGCCTGGGGTGTGCTGCCAGGACGCGCCTGCTCGCTGCCACACAGCTCGGAGGCCAGTGGGGACGGTGCAGACAGACTCCCCAGGAGCCTCTGCTGCAGTGAGGGTGCAGTGGAGTCACTAATGTGAACATCACAGTTGAACTAAAAGGTGGTGGCGGTGGGCACCTGACCCACTGAGTGTCTGCGGTGCCTTGGTGATTATTATTTAATTCAGGAAAATGGGAGCCTTCTCAGGAAGGCAGACAGCCCAGATGGCTCGAGACCCAAGTCCTGAGCAGTCCCTCCAGCCCCTGCTCCCCAAGGCCCGGGGCATTGGCACCAGCCACAAGGATGGGCAGGATGAGTGTCACAGCTTGTCGTCGGTCATCTCTAGGAACTGTGCATACACATCCCGGATGCACTCGCCCTTGGGGTTGAACAGGAACTTGTAGTAGCTGCCGTCAGCACAGATGGCTAGGACAGGAGACACCATGTCAGCTGAGGCAGCGCTCAGTAGGCCTCTGAGCCCAGTGTCACCACCTGCAGCCCCTGCTTGCCATGGCACTGCCAAGAATCATGAAGGGTGGGATGGCATGGCAGCCCCTCCAGGAAGCCACTTACCAATGACCGCGTTTGGCTCAGTCCCAAAGGCACAAATGCAGGGAGAGCCTGAGGGGACCTGGAACTTGGAGAAACTCCATTTGGAACTGAAGTATTTTGGAAGAAAGCTGGCTGATGCCAAACTGCAAGGACAAGGGGGAAATGAATAAAAAGGGCACAGAAGCATTACCTCCTTAAACCCAAACAGCTGCTAAAAACATTGAAGTGCTCTAATCAATAGTTTTGGACTGACTTCTTCAATTCCATTCTTTTAGAATTTTATTGGTTTTGCTTGACTTTTTGAGACAGGGTCTTGCCGTCACATTTAGGCTGGCCTTGAATTCACTATGTAGCCCAGGATGGCCTCAAACTTGTGCTGAACCCCTGCTTCAGTCTCATGAATGCTGCAATTACAAAAGTGAGCACCATGCCCAGCAAGCAATGGGTTTATAATAACCAAAGGCACTAGCACCAAGCCTGTCTTGCCATCAGGGTCCCTTGCAAGCCTGCAAACCACCTGGCAAAGCTCAGTGCTCACCACACAACTCCTTCATGACAGACAGACTCTGGCCTTGCCACACTGGAACAGTAGCTAGCTCTGTCCCTGCCCCTCCAAACTCTTTTCTCCCATAGGCCTAGAACCTACCTAGACTGCTTATTCCTTTTTGGGTCCTCTGCTGCGAAAATGTGCACTGTGCCATGGTCACTGGACACACAGATGAGAGAGGCATCCTGGTTGAAGTTAATGCTGTGGAGAAAATGAGATGAAACGTGGGCTCTGTGTGGGCCCAAGCACCAGCGTGTCACACACAGCGCCCAATATGAGTTCACTCCTCGGTGACCTTTGAGCCCTGACCCATAGTGGCACTTTCAGCAGCTCTTGGCCTGAGCAGGGGGATAAGGCTCAAGTGAGGAGACTGGCAGGCTCACAAGGTGCAGGCTACCCTGGGGCTGGGTGCTGGGCCCGTGTGTCTGCAAGCCGAGAGCCCTCAGACACAGAGCATGTGACACCAAGGTCAGGCCCCCAACACACGGTGCAGTGCTGGCAGGCTTTGCGGGTTGGCACTGCACACTGCAAGCCCTGCAGATGGGTCCACCTCAGAGCTCACTGGCTGAGAGATCAAGGGCCAGCCAGCAAGGCCTCTAGCATATTATTTTTTCAGTATTGCCAGGTGCACTGTGCTGTGGAGCTAGATCCCTGGCCCCTAGTATTCATTTCAAATGCCATAGAAAAACAACTCAGAATGACGTGCAAGGATGAGTGGAAGCTGGCAAAGGGGTGAGCGCCTAAGTAGGGTGCTGAGGCCACAGCAGTCAACCACAGCAGTCCTCTAGGTATGTATGGCAGTACCAGGGACTGAGCCTGGGGGCACGTGCATGCCAGTAGGGGCACTGAGCGATACCCCCAGCTCTTGTTTTCTGAGACCGTCTTGCTTATTTGGCCAGGCAAGCTTTGAACTTGCAATGTTCCTACCCCGTTCTCCAGAGTAGTGAGGACACAGAAACACGCCACCACTCCTGGCTTTACACCCCTTTATTTTTATATACACACCCCATAACGTAAAGCAAAACTCAGTAATGGCAAAAACAGTGAGACCACCCGCCTAGCAGCTGTCAAGGTCAGCTCTGTGTCCTTACCAGTAGATATTGGCTGCTTGAGATCCTCTTCGTAGCTCCTGGATTAAATGCCCTGATGAAGTATCAAATATTCTTATAAGGGTCCCCTTTGAAAAACAGTGAAGTGTTTCATTATCAACGATTCACAACTCCTGAGTCTTGAGACGATCTGTGCTCATAAGCCCCCCGGGCCCACAGACCCTTTCCCCCGACCTCCCTGCCACACAGGGCCACCTTGGTCCCAAGTACACTGGCAGCTGAGTCCCACAGACTGGCCAGGTCAGAGCATAGCTGGAGATGATGCCTGACTGATACCGATACCATACCCCTGGCCAGCGCCCCACAGGCTCCCTTGATCCCAGCCATGTGCTGGTCTGCAGGAAACCACCTGAAGTCAGACCCCCTCCAGTGGGAGAAACAGTGCCATGATCCTAATAACAGAGACAAGACAGTGGAAGGCCCAGACTGCCCCATCTACCACTCTGGCCTCCCCAGGAAAGGATGCCCAAGACTTGGGAAGGACTCAAATATTTCTACCACTCAAAATGAAGATGCCTTAGTGGCACAAACGGAAATTGCTTCTGCTTTTGTGGAGTGCATTAACTTCAATTAAACTTCTACTGAAGTAAGAAATCTTATCTCAGACCCAGGGCAGCCTCTTGTGGGGATGTGGGGAGGACACCCCAGAGATGACAGCTAACTGTCTGTAACATTTTACAGAAGCCCCTTGAAGTCCTGATTACCTTAGAAATCAACTTTGCACTGGACACACCTAGTGTTCCAACACCATGGCTCTGCCTGCCGCACACATGTGCTTGAGTCCCTGGCAGCACCACGGCATGCCAATACCCAAATGACACTGGCAACAAGGTGCAGGGGACAACAGTCTGCAGACTTAGGCTCAGTACCTGCCCAGCATCACTAGAAAGCACTGCACCTTGCATCACTAGCCTGGAAATGACCAAACACAAAGCCTGGCTTCTGCTGAATGTTCCTGAAACTCTGTGGCATTGCAAGCCCCCGAAGCCAATGATGTGTACAAGGACACTCTGATGTGGGGAAGACATGACCTGTTCCAGTCATTTGGAGGGGACTGCTGACATGGGAGGGTAGAATGTGGAAAGAGCCTGAGCCTGTATTTGGAATGGGGCCTTGATGACATGGAAAGATGCAGGGATGAGCAGAGTCTAGGGGAAAAGAGTACGAGCAGACACTCGACCAGGAAGAATGTTCCTGAGTTTATAGAAAACTATTTGTTGCTAACCCAGCAGCATCTACCACTGACCTGTCCTCCGCTAGGCCCCACATGTGGCATGGACCTGCAGCAGGTGAGCCTACGCCTACCCCATGCAACAGCACGGCTTGCCCTATTCTAGTTTCTAATTCCCTACACACAGCCTGGGCTTGCATGAAAACTACAGTAGAAAGATTCAATTTTCTTGCTTCAAAGTCCACATCAATTCAGGTTGAAGGCAGTTAAAAAGACACAGATAATATTTTACAAAGCAGTTCTGCATGTCAGGCACATTGAGAGGTACATGGGCAGCCCTGGAAATTACAATCATGGCACAGCGAGGTAGCCTCCGGAGGTAACCAGAGGGCAGTGCTTAGTCGTGCTTAGTCGTGCTTAGTCACCAGCCTGCTGCAGCAGAAACTCAGGAATGGAGTGCGGCCACTCCTCACTGCCTCCCCTGCAGGTCACTGGCCAGAGAGCTGACAGCAGGACGCTGGCTGCATCCCCCACCACCCCAGGCCAGGAAGGGAGCACACTTACTTTTTCAGAGGCAGTTGCAATTCTTGTTCCCTGCAGGTTGAGAGCGATGCAGCTCAGGACTCCCTCATGAGCAGGAATGTCCACAGGGGGCTTCTCGGTACTGGCCAGGTCCACAAGCTGCACGTGGCCCGTGTGGGTGCCCGGGAAGGCCAGGAGGGAGTTGTTACTATTGGGACACAGGACACAGAGGCCTGGACAGAGACACAGGAAGCCATGAGCAGCCGACACCAGGCCAGAGCTCTGATTTTTCACAACCAAGATCTATGTTTTGCTCAGAAAGAAAAAAAAAAAAAAAAAAAAAAAGACTATTTGCATAGTATGTACTTATATCAGAATATGAAGTTGACTTAAAAACTTCTGATTGTAAAGGAATTAAGGACTAACAAAGCAACCACCCATGAGACCCTCTCACAAGTAGAAACATTTCCTGCACAACCCATTACTGAAGAGAATGCCATTTGTCTTTTGTAGTGGCAGCTACTGAGAATGCAGTATCACACTACAAAATACACCAACTGCTCCAAGCTGGGAATGGCAGCACATGCCTGTAATTCCAGCAGGAGTATCTCTAGTTCAAGTCCTGCCTGGACTAAACTTAGCAAGACTGTCTCAAAACATAAAAGAAGTAAGAAAGGGCTGGGGATGCAGTTCAGTGATATAGCATCCCTGGGTTCAATCTCTAGCATCCTCTACCTCTACCACCCTCATACAAACAGAAAAACAACTCTAAAAAAATAGTCTAAGCAAATCTGGGCATGGTGGTGCACATCTGTAATTCCAGCACTTGGGAGGGATCACCAGGAGTTTGAGCCCAGCCTGGGTTACATATTGAGACCTGTCTCAAAACACCCAAACCAACCAACCAACCACCAACCCCCTTAAGAAACCCAAATACATGCTTCCATTTAGCAAAAGATGCACAAGCCCTGTTGAGGAAGATCCCATGTCCCTAACCCCTGGCCATGGTCACATGACCAAAGGATGAAGCATCTCCCTTTGCTAGAGTCGGTAGCTACAACGAATGCCTCAGCACCGACAGCCACAAGGAAAACGAAGGTGAAGACAGCAGGGTCTTCTAGGAGTGAGGCCAGAGGAGCAACACTGCCTGGTTTCAGGAAACCAGGGCAGAATGGCAGGGCCCAGAACAGACAGCAGTGCTCAGAGGCAGGGCAAAGCACAATGTGTGCGCACAGCCAGGCAGGGGGACTGAAGCACCCAGAAAAGGACTTATCAACGTAAAAGTACCACAGTAATTCAGTGTAAAGTCTTTAAAATAATAATAAAATAATATCCAGATAGGAAACAAAAAAGTACCTTCATCTTACACACAAAAAAAATTAACTTAAAATGGATGAGACCTAAGATCTAACATGATTACAATTCAAGAATAAAACACGAGCAATCTGGCAAACAAGAGCTTTATCCAGGACACAGGAGGCACTTTAACATTTCGCAACAACACGTTCAGCTAATTAAGAAATGGAGGCAGACACTGAAGCACACCTCCATTCCCAGCACTCTGGGAGGTTGAGCAGGAAGATTTTGAGTTCGAATGTAGCATGTGCAACTTCGTGAGACCCTGTTTCAAAATACAAAACTTTGAGTTCGATCCCCGGTACCGATAAAAAGGAAAGGAAAAAAAAAAAAAATACAAAACTTAAAAAGAGAAGGGGAGGTAGCTCAGTGTGAGGAACTGGGTTCAGGCTCCAGCGCTGCCCTCCCCAAGGGTCACAGAACATATGCAGACCAGCAGTGTGTAGAAAGGTGCTCACATCCCAGACCTCCGAGAAAGGCACCATGGCAGGTGGCCCAGCAAAAGGTGTAGCTTTAAGGAAGTGCAGTTCAGGCCGCTTCCTCCTCACCTACCCTGTCCCGGTGCCTGAGGTGAGCAGCTCTGCTCCACCAGACACTTCTGCCTCTCCACAGTCCTGACAGCCACTGAGCCGGCGCACGGAAGCCTCTGACATGAGCCAAGACAAGCCTTTCCTCCTCAGGCTGTTTCTCAGTATTTGATCACAAGGATGAATGATGAATGGCCACATGGCACACTCTGAACACAGATGGCCCTGGTGCTGTGGCAAGTCAAACACAGCTGGGCACAGTGGTACACCTGAAGTCTCAGACACTTGGGAGGCTGAGGCATGAGAACTCCAAAAGTCTAACCCCAAAAGTCTGAGACCAGCCTGGGCAACAGAGCAAGACCTAGATCGCACAAAAACCTAAGTTACGTAACTCATATCCCAAGATAGCTCTGGGAAAAGCTCCAAATCTTTACAAGGGTATAAGATGATGAACTACTGAGCTGGTTTCACAATTTCTAATCCAGGAGGCAGGGAATAAAACACTCATCACTCCAACACCTGATGACCTGGGTAGCTCTGGGGCCAATGAGCGCCCCTGGGCCTGAATCTGAGGGATGCAGGGTGGGTGGGCCAGCACGGGAAGCAGTCCCCATTTGTGGCATGAAGTGTGGCTTCAGCATTGTGGGCCCAGTGAGCTCATAGCTGGTGGAAAGCCACAGCGGCTGCTCTTCCGAGCTCTGCTGTGGGGGGCAGAGCACGGTCCACCTGCCTCAGGACAGTTGCAGCCTTGGGACCCACCAACCCTCCCTTAAGGTGCTCACCTTTAGGGTTATAGCAGGTTTCAAAGACATGCAGCTGGTGAGGGTTGTGTGTGAATGTGAACACTTTAATCATAGAGTCCAAGACAACCACAATTCTGCAAAGAAAAGATGATTAGTATTCCATGCCACAAACAGTTAGACACAAACATTTTGGGATTTCTGTTCTTTTGTCTTTTTGAGACAGGGTCTCATAATGTAGTTCAAGCTAGCTTAAGCTCACTTTGTAGTCTAGGCTAGTCTCAAATTCAAATGATCCTCTTACCTCAGCCTCCAAAGTGCTGGGCTTATAGGTGTGCACCACCACACTGGCTTCCATTCTTTTCTTTTTTTCCCATTCTTTTCTTTTGGTTTCTTGAGACAAGGTCGGTCTCACAACATAACCCAGGCTTGCCCTGAACTCAGGAGATCCTCTTGCCTCAGCCTTTTGATTGCTGGGATTACAGGTGTGTACTATTCTGCCCGGCCTATGATTTCTGTTCTTACCTTTTTTGAAACTCAGAATCACTGAAAACAGAAAGAACCTATTTTTTAATAAGGTCCCAGATGAAGGCATGAGCCACATGCCCCAGGGCAACACTGGGAGGGGGGCTTCAAACCTGGCTCAGGTCAGTCTCAGAGAACACACTGCATATGGAGGCACTAAATTAAACCAGTAGAACCTACACCTCCCTTCTTTCACACTACTCTACATCCCTAGCCTATTTTCTATCTATCTATCTACATTTTCAATGAATTACTGTTGGAGACAAGGTCTCATTAAGTAGTCTGGGCTGGCCTTGAGCTCTTAGTGACCCTCTGCCTCAGAGCTGGGATTACAGGTGCACACCACCACACATGGCCTCAAATTTTGCTTTCATATTCTTATGGAGATCCTTACTTAAGGACAGCTTACAAGCAAGTCTTTCATCTGCTGGTTCACAGTTCTGTGCTACCAAGGGCCCCACAGCTCAGTGCTCAGTGTCACCCAGCTGCCTCTCGTCCTGGATTTCAGTCCCTGGCTGTTCCATGTCAAGTCAGCATGCAGAGGTGTCTATGAGGAGACAGCCACAATGGCAGAGCTTCCGCATGTCTTTTTGCCCTTCTCAGCTCCAGGCCAGACCTGGCTGGCTCCTCATTGTGGACCCTGCGAGGCACTCCCGTTGGGCCACACCACCCTCAGAGTCGTGAGGCCGTCAAGCCCACTGACTTCTTCCTGTGGCCCTAGCTGGTCAAGAACCATGGTCCCTGACATTTTACCATGGCAATTCAAAAAACGTTTTTCCTGTGACAGAAAAGCAGTGCAACACCTAGGAACGTGGAACGTGCCCTGATAAGGACACTGAACTCACCTGTCTCGCCGCAGCTTCACCGCCTTGACCTCCGTAGAGAACTCAATTTCAATAACCGTCTTCTTCTTGAGATCATCCCAGATCATCACTATAAGGGCAGCAGAGCAAACCCAGTGTAGCAGGCTTTCGAGAGTGCGCGAGCACACACACACTCACACACACATGCACACGCACAGTCTCTGCTAGCCCTTCCTAGCCTGGTGAGTGTATTCAGCACTAGAGAAAAGCTATCTAAAAACAGAGACATGGAAGAAATGAACCTTAATGCTGCATTTCTAACATACATTTAAGGATGTATACAAGGCACGACAGAGTATATGGTGAACATTTCAATTTAAAATTATAGTCAAGGGGCTGGGGATTTAGCTCAGGGGCATAAGCGCCTGTCTTGCAAGCAGGCAGTCATGAGTTCGATCCCCGGTACCGATAAAAAGGAAAAAGACAAAAATAAATAAATAAAATAAAAATAAAAATAAAATTACAGTCAAAGACATTAATTCCCAGGCATTCCTTCCTTCCTTAGTACTGGGAACTGAACCCAAGATGTTCACACCAGGCTACATCCTTGGCTCATTTTTATATTTATAATTTATATGCTTTACCCCTCCAGTTCCAGTTTGAAGGTACTTTATCATTCTTCCCACTTTCTGAAGCAGTTCTGGAAGTCCTTTTTCCATTTGTCTTTACAAGGTGGACACAGAAATACAGTGACTGCAGGGCACGGTGGTACACACCTGTAATCTCAATACTTTGGAGGCTGAGGCAGGAGGACTGTTGCAAGTTCAGGGTCAGCCTGGGCCACATAAGTGAATTCAAGGCCAACCTGCACTACATGACAAGACCTTTTTTAATTTTTATTTTTTATTACTGGACATCAAACCTAGAGCCTTCACACTGAGAGCTACCTTCCAAGCCTTTTTAATTTTTTTTATTTTGAAAGAGTCTCACTGAGTTGCCTGGGTGGGAGGAATGTACTGCCATACCCTGCAATGTCTTTCCATTTCTAGGCTCTTAGTCCAAAGCAAAGCAAAGTTGCGCGCTGGTATCACCTGAGTGCTGTTCCGTTTCTCTCCCAGGGATACAGAGCCTGCACCTCAGCACAGGACAGTTTCTTACATAGCTCTGGCAAGGAACCAGTCCTCCTAAGGCTAAGCATGAGCCCTGCCACAGAACCACACTGCCACCATTGCCTTCCCCACTCCTCTGTCAGACCTGCCTACCCTGAGGGTGTGGCCTTGGCTAGACCTCTTGCCTTGCAGATCTCCACGCTCCTGCTTCTTCCTTGACTGCCTGCTTGCCTAGCTCTTGCCACAACTCATCCACCTTGGAGGCCAAGGCCTATTCCAAACATAAGGGCACTCAGTTGGCACAGGTAATAGCCTCTGTGTCCCAGGCTTCTGCAGCTCTGGCTCTGGGCTCCGCAGGTGGCTTCCCTCTGCCTCCTCCAGTGAATGGTGGGTCCACCCCACACCTCTTCATGTGTTCCACAGCCATGCTGACATACAGGAGCAGAGCCTGCTGTGGGATGGGGAAAGCCCACTTCTCTGTGCCAAATGAGGGGTGGACTCTCAGGCCCAGTCCCTTCTTGCTTTATGGCCACCAGATTAGTGCTTCTTCATCAGTAGCTCAAAGCGGGACTCCTGTGCAGTCCTTAGCTGAAGCCCCACCTGGCCCAGTGTGGCCCACCCCCATTTACCACCGAGCAGGCTGAGCGGACCACAGCCAGTCTTCCTGGATGCTTCTTCCCAGACCTTGTCCTTCAAATTGCACAGCATCATGAGGACAGGCCACACACGGCCCCTAACAGAGGCGGTCTACAAAGTTTAAGAGGCCTCTAGACAGGGAAGGAGGCTCTTGATGGTGTGGCTACTTTACCTTTGTTGGGAGGATATTTTGGTTTTTTTCCACCACCAACTAAAGCCAAATAGTTGCAGCGAAATAACATTTCCACGTGGCCAACTCCTCCTTCTAAAAACTCTGAAATGATAATTTTAAAAAGACATTTCAATATGTTAATATACATATTTTACAACTTAAAAAAATCAAGACATGACACAACGTTTCATTTCTGACTCTGTTTACATCCAAGTGCCCACAGAGGCAAGCGCCTGACTACTACACACACGGTGGGCTCCAAACCCCAGCTGGCATCTTGTTGTCTTTGACAAGCTTCCACTGAGAAGCTGACTCATGAAAACAAGCTGTAGACTGAGAACACAGAGTGAGTCTTAACAATGCCAGCAGTAGAGCTGCTTCCTCTTAACCTCCCACTCCACTCAGGCAGGGGGCCTCAGGAACTGGGAGAGAAAGCCCTTGTCCTCTGGGGCTCCCATAGCGAGTGGGCTAGCTCATCCTTCCGCTCAGAACATGAAAGACACAGCCAACAACATGCAGGAAGCCACAGCACAGAAGCTGGCCTGGCCAGCAAGGACAGACTTTTACACCCCAGTCCTGGCAGTAGACCTCGGGTGAGAGTGCATGAGCTCACTCCACGACAGGGTCTGACCAAGTCCCACAGAAGACTGCACAGTACTGTCCACAGCGAGAACAACATTTCCTACAGGCAGTGTACAGACCTCAACCCAATTCTGGCTACAACAGAAGGTGCAGGTGCAAATGCCTGCACTGTGTCTTTCCCCCAGGCAACACAGAATACAGCCCTCCAACCAAGGAGTTTCCTCTAGAATATTCAGCCAGCACAGGGAGACACAGCCACTCTAAAGAAGCATGAAATATGACAGACCAGTGCCTAGGCGGCATCCATGTTGCCTTGCCTAAGACAACTCAGCCACCTCAGCAGGGAAGAGCAGTCTCCTAGACAAGTGGGACTGGGGAAACCTGTCTCCACATCCACAAAAATGAACCTGAACCCCACCAATACCACACACGAAATTAACGCAAGCTGAGTGTGGGGGCACACATCTGTAATCCCAGCATTAGTGAAGCAGAGGCAGGGGGATTGCTGCAAGTTTGAGACCAACCTGTGCTACACAGTGAGTTCAAGGCCACCCTGAACTGCATAGTGGGACCCTGTCTCCAAAAGTAATTAATTAATGAAATATTGAAGGCTCTGAATCTATGAAACTCCTCAAGCAGAAAACAAGAGAAGTTTCACAATGTTAGATTTGGGAATGATCTCTTGGCTATGAATACCAAAAGCACAAGTAGTACAAGCAAAAATAGGCAGAGACAATATCAAACTTAAAAACTACTCTGTAAAACATCTGCACAATCCATGGTAGACACTCAGGGCCTTCTATTGGCACAAGAGCCAAGTCACCCCAGCATTACCCCAGAAGCTGAGCATCAGGTAACAGTACACATAGGGGGCCAAATCCATGCAACCTGAGACTTACGAGCTTTCACACAGCTACTCAGTGAATTGCCAAGGAAGGATAGATGATACATAGATTTGAAGCATTTGTTTTTTATTAACATAAGATGTTTGAGTTTTCTTATGAAAAGTGAAATTTAGTATCTAAAATTTAGCAGAGAAAAGTTCTAATTAAGAGACTGAGATTCTTCTAATGTTGTGCTGTCTCCATGGTATATTTGAATTCACAGCATCATAATTGTTTGCAAAGAATTGATAAAAAAACAAGAGCAAGTATGGAGAAACATATACACACACTCGGGCTGGCAGTGATTTTAGCAGAAGCACTCACAAAGTAGAGAAATTACACCCAGATGCCCTTTTCAAAACAGGTAACCAAGGCCAGGGATTCAGCTCAGTGACACAGGCACCTACCTGGTAAGCACAAGGTCATGAGTTTGATCCCTGGTACCAAAAAAAAAGCAGGTGATCGGTGAACATTGTACCTTTGCGCTGGTGATTAACAAAAGAAGCCCCTGCTAGTAATCACTGCCATATTGTTTATTCAGGGAACATCCAATTCTTAAGCGTTAACTAAAGATGTTAGCTATTTCTGGTATGGGGTAGACTTTTACTAAGTGATTCATTTTTTTAAAATTTTTGTGTTTTTGTAGACTCCAAGTGTTGAACACCAAAACATGGCTGCAGCAAAAATATGAAAGCTGAAAGCAGACAGTGGATGATGACCCCAACAGCCCTGGACAGAATCACCTGGAGTGACTGAATGCAGCAGGACAGTATGAGCCATCCTGTGCAGTGAAAGTGTTTTGTGCTCCACACCAATGCCAAAGAGCACCAGAACAATAAGCACAAAAGTGATGCCCAACTTGGTGAAACAGAAAGGCGATAGTTTCTTTTCTTTCTTTTTTTTGAGACGGGATTTTGCTATGTAGTTCAGTTTCTCCTTGAACTCACTACATAGCCCACGCTGGACTCAAAGTTGCAGTGACACTCCTGCCTTAGCCTCCCAAGTGCTGGGATGTGCCACCATGCCCAGCGCAAAGAAATTTCTTGAGGGAAAACTGAGGAAATACTACTCCCAGCATCTTAGTTTTTCTGACTATCTTTTATCTATCTATCTATCTATCTATCTATCTATCTATCTGGTACCAGGGATTGAACTCATGACTGTGTGCTTGCCGGCAGTGCCAGGCAGGTACTTATACGGCTGAGCTAAATCTCCCCCCCCCACTATCTTTTAAAAACAAATCACCTTGACAGTGGTGAGCTTTCAAATTTTACTTGTAGCAAAACCTGGAAAGCCTCTCTCTGATGGGGATTTTATCAAAATGGTCATGTTGTCTAGGAGTAATTCTCTTCTCCATCATTTTCCCAATAAGAATAAAATTATACAATGCATCTGAGATGCCACTTGGCAAGTGATGTTAGTAGCTCACCACTGCCTTACCAAAGGCAGCCAGTTGCTACTCTGTTTGCTTTCATGAGAACACAAATAAAAATAATCATCCAAGGCTCACGGTACTTTTGGTTATGCTGCTAGTGACACCATGAGAGAAGAGCTGGTGAAACTGGGGTCTTTGCTTGGAAGAACACCAGGAATGGACATCTACAATGCTATGATGGAAGCTTTTTTGTTACAAGACATAGAACCAAAAAAATGGTTCTGACTTCACACAGTTCATTATTAAAGAAGCAAAACATCCAGACATTCAGTTTCATTGTACCTTGATTCACAAACACTTCTATTTGCAAACAAAAGCATTTAGCAAAATTGTGCTGTCTGCAAATCACACATTGGGTGACAAATATAACCATGGTCACCTTCCCCATACAAACACAAACACAGCCATTTCCCCCCAAATCATAAAACAAATTAAGTCCATAAACCAAGGTATAATTATATGATTTCTGTGCTAGTCAAAGAGCAAAAAATGAGACATCACAAAAATGGTGAATTATATCATGGCTCATGCTTTTAATTTTCGACAATTTCAAGTATTGCTCGATGAAGCTTGAGCATAATGCTTTACTTATGTACAATAATGTCTGGGACCTGAGCAGAGGACACATCCTGGAGAGATCTGCAGCCTGCTTGGATAATATTAAGCCGTTTATGAGTTGAAAAGGGGCAGGAACACTTGCAGCTCACTGATACAGCCTGGTTTAACAACAGCCTGGTTTTATACTATACTTCAGTGCACTGAACAAAAAACTACAAGGTATAGGGAAAACAGCAGAAAGGATTTTTTGTGATATCAAAACATCTGAAAGAAAACTGTAGGTTGAAAGATCTTAGAAGTGGCAGCTGTATCTTCCAATCTAAATATGCACTGAGAAAAGTCTACAACATTTGCAGACAACTCTACAAGCCATCAGAAAATCTACAAGGAATTTTCTAGCCTGTTAGCAGCAGCAAAGGAAAATTTTAGTAACAATTTTTATAGTTCCGTAAAATGAAGACAACTCTGTGTTTAAAGTCTCCAGAAAAAACCAGATTTGAAGAACTTCATCTTTACTGCTTGCACTGTTCAGACTTTGGATATCTGGAAATGGAGCTTCTGGAATTTCAAGACAGTCCTATCTCAAAAGATAGATTCTATGACCTGCGTGCAACACTTGAGAAGCTAGAGTGTGATGAGATGACAAACGACAGCACTGTTGGTAGTTCTAAAAGTGAAATACAAGCTGGGAACGCACACCTTAATCCCAGTGCTTAGGAACCTGAGGAGGAGCAACGCTGTAAGTTTTGACATCAGCCTGGGCTAAATAGTGAGTTCAAAGCTAGCCTTAACTGCATAGTAAGATTCTGTCATAAAACCAAGAAACAAAACAAACAACAACAAACAAACAAAAAACCCTGAAGTATGGAATTCTCTGTCAAATAATTTTAAGTCAATGAAAGCACTTGTAATTGTTTTTCTGATCATGTTTGTTTAGATCATCTTATGCTTATAAGCAACTGTTTTCAGCTTTGAGTTGTACCAAATCTGATACAACAAACAGACTAGGAGATGATCTGAGTGTTGAATATGATGTTCTCAAAGTAACAAAGTATGAGCCAAAGTCTGACAAATTATCAACATACACACAATGGCAAAGTCACACTGATGGTGCAAAAGCATGCCAAATGCAAACTCTTACCTTTCAATAAAAACCTGTTTACATCACTGAAAGCTGTGTTACTGTGTTTTTCTTTTAAGACAGAAGATGTTAATGGCTAAGTTTATTTTTCTTAACTAAAATCTCAGTGTTCAGGTTTAAATGCAGTGTTCGCACTCTGCAAAGAGTAAGTGGGTTTTGGGTTACAGTTGGGCCCTATGTTCACCATCACTGAGATAATCTATAGAGTAGGAGAAAAACTGACCGATCATTTAGCTAGTAAGAGGTTAATATGCAGAACACAATGCAAACTCTTGCAACTCAACAACGAAAAAAATCAATCCAGGAAAGCACTTGAATAGACATTCCTCCAAAAATGATTTACAAATGGCCAATAAGCACACAGAAGATGCTTAGTCAATGGTCATCAGAGGAATGCACATCAAGAACAAAGGAGATTCCTCTGCATACCATTAGCATGCTGACTTTAGGAAACAGGGCCTGATCCTGCTTGGTGACCATGTGGAAAACTCTAGAATCTGTC